AGGATGTATTCCTAATGGGACAAGACAAGTCAGCCTGGATGTGACATGTAACTTCTAATGTAACTCTTATGCAGCGAGTGATTCCGGTTGACTTTCAATATTTTTCGGCGACCTTCCAATGCAGAGGAAATTAACATGAAGCCAGTGACTCTGGAATTTTGCACACAAGCTATTTCAGTGGCTTTGGCGAAAGGTCACTTGGTGGCGTCATCTTGACCGCACGGATGCTGGCAGGTTCCTGGTGCACATCATGTACTGAAAGACGTGTTGCCCTCACAAATGTCAGACACCATTGCGGTGAGTGAGATTCAAAAGCGGTCGTTTTAAAGTGGGCAACAACAGATCCAGAGCTACTGTCATTTAAAAGCTCTCGCGTACAGCAATCCAGCAACGTTGACTAGGACGGATAAATTGCTACCTTGCTCTACGCTTACCGCGGTGTTCTACGCAGCTTTTTGAGACGGACAAGTATGGATTCCGCACTTATTTTAGACGGTTTAGCAATAAAAGTTGGCTTTGCCTGGACCAGTACAAGTCAATACCACCCAAATATCAGATCGCGATTTTCATCACCACTTGACTGTATCCAGCCCTTGACGCCTCCCAGCGAGGGGCTGACGCCTCACTGTGAAGAACCGGTGCTCTAGCGCATTACCAATTCACTGTCTTCCGTTTGCACCGCGGCCGGGTACATCCCGATGGGAGTGGGAAGGAGGGGGGGGGGGGGGGGGGGCACTCCGTGTTCGATTTCGGGCGCCGGGACGAAACACAGCGCTTCCTTGCCGAGCCGGCGTGTAAGCCGTGCAGAGAGCGGAGGGCGGTGGAAAGTGCGACGACGCCGGCAGCATGTAGCTGTCAAGTTCGATCTCGTGCCGTGCGGTCGACGCCGGTAACAACTGCCGTCTGAGATAGGTGGGCCGGGAGTGGGTCAGTCGTCGCCCGGTGCGGTGATGACGGAGATGGCGGCTGCGCGGCCGAGTCAGCCTTTGACGGCAGCGGGCGCTCATCTGCCAGTCTTTCCCAGCCGCGGATACTTCTAGCATCATACGGCCCTCGTTCGACCCAGCTGGGCTTTGGTGTGCCTGGTACATGTTTATGAGAAATGCGGGATATTTATGTGCGAGATGCTCCATGGGAGAATCCTGGCGTTGGATCTGAAGGGAGGTGCGGCGGCGGCACGTCTTTGGTCGTCTGCCACTGTCGACGTCTGCCGAGTACTCCACCCGGATGTCAGAGATGATGGCGAGGGGACGGGACCAAACAGGCTGTATGAGAAAGCACGGGATGGGCCAGCGATCTGTACGGGAGGCGGTGCAAAGACAGTGCTTTGACTTTAACCTTTCTGGTGGGGTTGAGGAAAAATACGGCGGCTAGGAGGCGTTGATGCTGTCTGAATAGCTACAATAAGACAGAAACAACGCAGAAAAGATTGCAATACCAAATATTGCGACTTCACTGACACAGAGGGAGGGCAGGGGCGAAAAAAGACCAATTTCTTGGTCAATTGATCCATGTATTTACGCTATGTTATGTGACAGGTGCTTACCGCATACGAGCAAAAACACCATCATGAATACTACACTGACATTGCCAATACATTCAGGAGAAAAGTACTCATTGGTTGCAGACAGGCACACGTATTGTTGCGCGTATGTTCTACGTAAGACGCATACGCACGATAAAATCCCAATAAATATTGCAAAAAACGGGACCTGATCGAGTGATGAATGACTACGTAATGAATTAGATCTGGCTCTGATGATGCTTTTGTCTCATGTAATTGCCTGAAGGTGACTCATCTCCATGAACAGCATGTTTGGCGTCCTGCACCACCCTGGCATCCATGCCTACCGTGCAGGGTAGAATCGTTCAGGCCTGCGGAGGTCATCGCACTAAGCACATTCGGTTGTGAACCTCTTCCCTTGGGGGACGGATAGATTTTATGCGATATAAGACAAGTGTTTGTTCACGCTGCTGTTGGTCGTGCTAAGCGCAGTGTTGGGATGCCTTGCTGTGAGGCAGCAAAATACTTACATGTTGCGAGTTGACGCAATGCACAGTGGAGGAGTTGTGAGCATCGCACGGTGCTGCTGTATGAATACAAATGCATAAGTTCAAAGTTCAGGTGCAGCAATCAAGAGGTACGAAGCGCAAATATGAATCCGTTCAGGCTAGCGTACACTTATGAGACAGCTTGCTGACAGATATATTGCCATGGAAGGCCGAACCGACAAGCACTTCGCATTTGTACAGTGTCGATATCACGAGTGCTTTCTTCGGAGCACAGCCCTTCTCGGGTTTCACTTGTCATGCTATACGCCTCCCAGACACGACAGGAGGCAAAGCCAGTGACTGTCAGTCCACCGGTCCGTCCCCTGCCTGCCGTGCTTGCTCAATGGACACTTAGGGACGGGAGCACGAAGCCCTCCCAGCTGGCCGCACAGGCGTCATGGCGTGGCTGATATACGCTCGTGATGCCTACAAGTTACAAAACAAACTGCAGATGTAATGATTTTCTCACATACGTACAACGTCTGCGCCCGGCGTGAAAAGTTCGCCCTTGACACGTTGGCATCGCTTCAGGGCTCAGCACCTTCCCGCTGCAGGCTGGTTCTTGCATTAAATGCTCTGCTCTTCTACACTTGGCCATGTGTCGTATCCTCTGTGACCACCGCTGCTGATTTTGCGACGAAGCAGATGATCTCGGTATCTTACTTCTGCCCCGAAGTGAGTTTCTGCGCCATCACCAAACCAGCTGCGTTTATGACATCTGATGGGCGCTTGTTCAAGTACGGAGTAACTGCCTCCCTCCAACTTTCCCCGCAAGTAGTAGTACTGTACAGGCGTAAGAATCCATAGTCACTCCTTTCCATGCGATCGATTTTTTTATCAAACTTGCACCCACTTTCTCTTTATGGAACCGGCCACGGGAAGGGAAATTGGTCGACTTTATCCAATTTAAATCTGACAGCGTCGCTCCCGCCCCAGCGCACCTGCAAATGATGTCTCACTTAAAACATCCGCACAGCTCACTGACCTTGGCTGGCTTCCAGGTCTGGCTCTCGGCAGTACGCGTGCTGCTATAGTATATATATATATATATATATATATATATATATATATATATATATATATATATATGTATACATGTATATATGTATATGTGTATGCATATACATACATCATATGTACATACAGATCGATGGATAGTATGGCGATTTTTTCCAGAACGAACTTGGTTGAGCGCGGTGCGGGCATGCGAAATGTGTTGCGAGACTTATAACACCAACACATGTTGTCGTTCCATTTATCTTTACCACGAATGTCTACTTATCACCATTTATTCACACACATATTAAAAGAAACAATTAATTTGGTACGGAAACGTTCCCCGGGAGCCAGTATGTGAACATGCCGCTGTCTGGGCTCGCTTGGTCCAGCTCCGTGCTGTGTATAACAAACCACCGTGCTAACCGGACGCCAGAGAGCACCGCCGCGCGACCCAGCCTAGCAGGCCACACAAATAATGTATCTGGAATACACTGTGCAAACGTTGTAGAGCACAGTCTGTGCTATCTGCGGATTTTGACACTTTCATGTCTGTGAGCTACTGATTCAACTGCGCCAAAGCTATCAAAAACCGAAGGGAAAAGTCATATTTCGGTCTGGGTAGTGCATCATGTCTGCATCATGTCTGCATCATGTCTGCATCTTGGTGCATCATGTCTGCAAACATTTCATTTGCTCCTAATGCTCATTTGTCGTCACATTGGAGCTTTGTTAAGACTGGGCAAGTACAAAATTGTTAACACGAAATATTTCACATGTGGCCTTGTCAAGTAACACGCCAGATCATTGCCACGCAGCAAAACGCCTGCACAATTTAAAGAGGCGTGAAATAGTTAATAGCAATATAATCGTTGTAATGGTGATGTGTAATGGTAATGAAATTGTAACCCATGTTAGTTATAGGAATGTCTGAACCTATCGTTGAGATCTGAACCCGTCGGGTGAATAAAAAAGTGCAAAACTTGCAAGAACCGCGCAGCTGATAGCCAGAGAATATCTGGAGCTTAAGCAAAAGTTGCAGACAGGAGTACTTGTTCGTCGTATAGATGATGCGCAGCGGCCCAAATTCAAAGCATGATTAACGTTAGGCTGGAGGCAAATAGGAATGTGGTTTCAATATGCATGAATGCGGGCTCCACAACGTCAGGTCCTTGTAATTTCCTGGCTTAAAACTTCGCGAAGCATCCTGACACACCTGTCATCCATCTACACCGCATTCGTCATTTGAATCACTCTGCAGAGTCCCCGGAAAAAGGCGAGGCGCTGAGCTGGGAAGAAGAACCAGAAGAATGAACGAATTTAGACCGTACTTTTTGAAAATCATAAGTAGCAGGCGGTGACACATAGAAAATATCTATGAATATTTGGCCCATAACTCCTCCCCCAACTGCTGCATGACCTACAGCAGTCGATGCGCCCTAACCCCCCCCCCCCCCCTCCCCCAACTTTCAGGCAAATCCTGCGCTCCCTGCAGGCACTACCAATGCAATGCCTCGACACCATGAGGCGGTGGCAAGAGCCGACGCATTTATAAACGGCATTAGCTTCTGCGGACATATAAGAACTTCCAGACACGTCACGACGGCGCGCAGCCCTCTACCCGCTACATTCTCACAGTGCTCCCCGCTGTTGTCCCGCGCGGCCGTAACCCAGGCCCCGACAACCGCGCGGTCCTCTTCCGGTCCGCTCCCCCGGCGGCGACCGGCGGGACGAGGAAGCACTGCTCTCTCCCCCGTCGGCGGCTACCCGTCCATCATCTCCGGGCCGGGGCCTGCCGTCCGTGGTTCGTTGCCCGGGCCCGCCGTCAGGCTGGTCGCCGCTCATGCGTACACCGCCGCTAATCACCGTGGGGTGTGACGTCACACCTGGATGTGACGTCATCAGAGTACGATGCGAGCGCGAGGCGGCGGGCGCCGGCCGGCAGTGGCTGTGCCGCCGTGGGACGGAGAGGTGGGGTCCGAAGCGCGCGACGTGGAGAGGCTGACGCTGGCAGGACAGGTGGGTGGCGGCGGTGGGGCACGGGGAGAAGGTGATTCCGAGGGGACGGGCACCTGGTTCATGTTGGTTGGTGGAGACTGCGACCTTGTGAGTCGTGTGCGATTTGCCCGGTGGCCGACCGCGAGGCGACGGAAAACGACGCGGATATGTTCTTATTGCATGAGCCTATTGGCCACGAGATGAAGCTAATGCGTGATGCACTAGCTATTTCGCCTGCAATTTCTATTTCCATTGTTTTGTTTTCGTCACACCTGTGGCTCGTTACTGTTCTTCTATCGTAATGACATCCTTTGCGTGGTACGGAACTGGTAACGATAGTATTTCGATGAACAAGACCAGTGTCCTCGAGTCTGTTCACTTTGAGTGTAAAGGTATCAGTAACAACTTTCATTTTGTTGAGTCAATGATGCCGTTGTTTCATAAAATAAGTCAAGTTTATGCTTTTGTTTACGGCTCCGAAACACAGTGGCGGTGGCTCTTGCATTTACGCTGGACTTGCCTTCACATTTTCCACTGGGGCAGCCGCAATATTTTGACTGGATTTCCTACTCCAAGATTCATGGGGCAATATTTACAAGCAAACGTTGCAAGCGATCACGCACATGTGTTTGACGCTACATGTACATACATGTTGCATGACGTTACATGTGTCCATGCACTTCACAAAAGGAGCTCGGAAAACCAGAAACACTAACGCCCGGGCGGAATTGTGGGTTATCATTCGGCGTGCCGAGGCAAACGAAAATAGTTCACAAGGCAGGTAGACTCGGGGGTCTAGTGGCAATATAACAAGAGAACTATGAGGAGTAACGGCTCTCCTCGATTTTCCGTTTTTTACCTCATTTGATGCGCACATGTCTGTCGTTTCTTGCTTGTGTCGATGTAAGGTTACCGTGCGTGACGTTTTTAAGTTGTTATATGATTTACAAAAACGGCCCGCAAACCTATATATCGACACTATTATACCTTATCTTTTCATATTGTATCACTATCCATTATTAGTTTAAATGGCAATGATTTTCTTTCTGACTTTAGCATGAAAACCGAACATACTGGCCATGCTTATGTTCCAGAGTGGATGGGCATGTAATCGCGACCCACACTGGTTTTATAAACCCCAATCCCTTTCAAGCTGCTAGCCAATTCTTACCGCCTGGATACTGATCTATTTTTAACTCGCGTTTTCATCGATCGCCTCCTTTCAACCCACATTATTCCCCTACTTCCATACATGGCTCTCTCTCACTCATTACTTTTCCGTTCTGCGATCTGTACGCCCAAAGCCAGCCTAATGCCCGGTAGGTTTGTTCCCCTCCGCCTCCCCTCCTCTCCGCGGGGCCATAATCCCCATTCACTCACTCTCTATAGATAGATTGGGTGAAAGGTAATGCATTGAGCGCGTGCACCCACCTGGGTCTCACTGCCCCTGCTTGTCAGCTGGCCAGGTAGCTTGTTACCTTCAGTTTCTGCCGTCTCCGAGCTCTGGTCTGACTGGGCATCAGCGATAATGACGTTTCTTGTAGCACAGCGGGGTTTCAACGTGCAATTTCTCCCGCTCTGCTTCCCTGGAGCCGGTTTTCCGCTCCGCGTACTGATCAGACGTGTCGGCCTGGCCTGTAGCGTAGTCTGAGCAGGCGTTCCCTCGTCTTCCAGCGGTCCCCGGTCCTCGTCCCTCGTCTGCCGCCGGTCCCGGATCCCTCGTCCCTGGTCCGCCGGTCCCTCGGGTCCTGTAGCGGACGCCTCACGTCCGTCCGAGCCCATCCGTCCTGACCGTGACGTGGGCCCGTCTCCCCCGTGTAATCTGCGGTGCCCTGCACACGGGCCCGTCAAGCCGAGGAGCGGCGCGGTGCCCTGCGATCGATCTCACGGGGAGCCAGCCGCAGGGGCCGGCACAGCACAGCACAGCACAGCACAGCACAGCACAGCACAGCACAGCACAGCACAGTACAGCACAGTACAGCACAGCACAGCACAGCACAGCACAGCACAGCACAGCACAGCACAGCACAGCACTGTCGCAATCGCGGCTGGGGAGGTGGGAGGTGGACTGGTCGCGGTTGGGGAGGTGGGAGGTGGACCAGTCGTGGCTGGGGAGGTGGAAGGTGGACCGGTCGCGGTCGAGGAGGTGGAAGGTGGACCGGTTACGGCTGGGGAGGTGGGAAGTGGACCGGTCGTGGTTAGGGAGAAGGGAGGTGGACCGGTCATGGCTGGGGTCTGGAAGGTGGACCGGTCGTGGTTGGGGAGGTGGGAGGTGGACCGGTCATGGCTGGGGAGCTGGGAGGTGGGGGGGGGGGGGGGGGGGGTGGAACGGTCACGGCTGAGGAGATGGGAAGTGGCCGGTCGCGGCTGGGGAAATGGGTGGTGGACCGGTCGTCGGTGGGAGGTAGGCCGATTCATCAGCGGCGTCTACACTCGTATTTTGTTTGACTAAATGTGATCCAAATAGCTACGATGTGGGATTTGCCCATTTTGTTTTCTCGCAGCATTAAGCTTATTTATTACTGTTTAAGTGAATCGCCGTGCCCTGAGACGCGTTGTTGCACCCGTGCAGATGCATTTAGAGCATACAATTTGAAACACAATGTCTGCATGTGCTCGTCATGTTAACTGCCGAGTAGTGCAATTCCAGTCAGGTGTATACAAATAGGCTGAATTTATAGACGAGACATTTCTGTGCAGGTTTGATCAGTCAGTATGTTGCAAAGTTCGATCACTTGTGCCACGTGGCTGCCTATCTATTTGAACAATTTTTTCCGCCGCATGACGTATGCTTGAATATTTTATGCACTTTATTTACCCAGCCCAATATGTTGTTGCAACCTTGCTTTCATCCCCTTCTATATAAACTTTCATCTTCTCAGCACCGTATTTATTGCGCTCTAGGCACGGGTATCGTGCAGGCATTTATTGGAAATACCTGTTTGGTATGCATGAATATGACGAAAAATCAATCCCGGAAGTCTACTTCTTCAAAAACGAAATTCCTCAGCGTTTTTCGTTGAAACGTGCTGAATACCAAACACATGGACGAACAGCACACTTTTGCAATGACGATGCGTTTGTACGATCAGGGATGCATTTTCATACTCAGTTGGGGCTCCCCACCTTAGCCTGCAGTCCACCCCCAACATTAAGATCCGAGTAGGCCAAATCAGGAAGAAATCCGTTTGTTGGTGTATTTTCGAGGCAAGTTTTCACTGTTCAGCGCGCCGCTCCCACACACACTAGTTTTGCGAAACTACACCCCTGCGTACAATGGTACAGGTGAGGCAGTGATTCACGGCTGTTCAGTGCCTTAAAACATCAGTTTAAACTTCCTTCTCTCATCAGATATGCAACTATTTAAAGCATTGCATCACGACTCAGTCGTACTCAGCGGAGGTATTTAATTAGAGTGAGACCAGCCAGTCAGTAGGCGGCTCCTGACGCCTCCGCTCCCGCCCCTCTCCTGTGCCCCTCCATCTCACATTACACCTGACCTGACATCACAGCGGCACCCTCAGTCGGCGGCTCCCGACGCTTCCCCTCCCGCCCCTCTCCTGTGCCCCTCCATCTCACATTACACCTGACCTGACATCACAGCGGCACCCTCAGTCGGCGGCTCCCGACGCTTCCCCTCCCGCCCCTCTCCTGTGCCCCTCCATCTCACATTACACCTGACCTGACATCACAGCGGCACCCTCAGTCGGCGGCTCCCGACGCTTTCCCCTCTCCCGCCCCTCTCCTGTGCCCCTCCATCCTCACATTACACCTGACCTGACATCACAGCGGCACCCTCAGTCGGCGGCACCCGACGCTTCCCCTCCCGCCCCTCTCCTGTGCCCCTCCATCTCACATTACACCTGACCTGACATCACAGCGGCACCCTCAGTCGGCGGCTCCCGACGCTTCCCCTCCCGCCCCTCTCCTGTGCCCCTCCATCTCACATTACACCTGACCTGACATCACAGCGGCACCCTGCTCGCCCGAACCCTGAGTGGCGCCCTCACTACTTTACTACTGATCTCACTGGCGGACGTGCCACCAAACCGGCACCGTCGGCCGCAACGGCGGCCGGGTTGCCCCCGCACCCAGGGTGCCGAACCCCCCCCCCTCCCACGCTACCGATGAGGTTCGGGAGCGGCTCTGGAGGTAGGGGACATCCCCCAAGGCCCCTCCCCCTCCCTCCCCTCGAGCGCCGTCGCCTCTTGGCGTCGCCGGCGTCCGACCTAATGCGGACCGCACGCTCGTCTGGATCCTCACGCGGCCGCCCTAAAGAACAATTATGTCGTCGTTCCAGCGACAATCGCGTGTAAAGCGGCGCCAGACGAATGGCGGCGTCGGCCATCAGGGCGGGCGGCGATAAATAGCGATCAGAGCCGGCCGCTAAGCGAATCGCGTCCGTCACACTGCACTGCGGCGCGGGCCCGACTGTGTAACGCTGTCGCACACGGGGGGGGGGGGCACACTGCAGCCCTGCCGCGGCTGGCTGCCGGGCCGCCGCGCCGCGCCGGTAGACCGGTAGAAGGCGTGTCACGGCGGCCCCGCCAGTCCCGCGCAGCGTCCAGCGGCCGCCGGGCGACGCGCTCGGCTGGAGGGCGCAGGTGATGCGCGGCGAGTCGCAGCGGGCCGCCGGCGGTGCCGCAGCAGCGCCCGAGTGACCGGCGCCCGATGGAGCCACCGCCCGCGGAGCGGCCTCAGTGCTCGGGCCTCGCCTCGCGCCGTCCGGGCGTTCAGTGGGCTCGGCGGCCGGAATGCAGTGGCATTTGTCACTCCGGCGGCGCCCGTTGGCCGGCCATTTTTGGGCCGGCACGGACAAATGAGCGCCGACGCGGCTGCCAGACCGACCTCTCCACCGCCGGCGAGGACCGGTCAGCCGGCTCCCTCGCCAGCGGACGCCAGACCGACCTCTCCGCCGCCGGCGAGGACCGGTCAGCCGGGCTCCCTCGCCAGCGGCCGCCAGACCGACCTCTCCACCGCCGGCGAGGACCGGTCAGCCGGCTCCCTCGCCAGCAGCCGCCAGACCGACCTCTCCACCGCCGGCGAGGACCGGTCAGCCGGCTCCCTCGCCAGCGGCCGCCAGACCGACCTCTCCGCCGCCGGCGAGGACCGGTCAGCCGGGCTCCCTCACCAGCGGCCGCCAGACCGACCTCTCCACCGCCGGCGGGGACCGGTCAGCCGACTCCCTCGCCAGCGGCCGCCAGACCGACCTCTCCACCGCCGGCAAAGACCGGTCAGCCGGCTCCCTCGCCAGCGGCCGCCCAGCCCGGACGCTCCCCGGCGCTCTCCGCGAGCAGCCACCGGCGGCCAGGGACGGCCGCCGCCCGCCCGGACCCGCCTAACTAGCTCCGGCGACGGCACAAACGACCCCGCCGAACGGCTGCCGATCGTCGGCGCGATGGGTCGAGATAGCGCCGGATTCCAGGCGCCGGCCGAAAACCAAAACAAGCACCTAATTGAGCCGTCAGGGCGCCCTCCGCGCGGGAGGGACCGGCGTGCGAGGAGCGCATTATCGCCTCTTTGTTAAACGGGCGGGCGGCGAACGATTGGCAGACGTCTGCCGCCGGCCCACTGAAGCGATGCCGTGGGAGGAAATGATGCGGGCTGTTCGGTTATCTCGAACGTAAATGGAATAGAACCGGCCCGAGAAGCGCTTTGATGTGCCACAGCGTCTATGTTGTAACGGCTGCTAGCGGCTGATGAGCCGTTAACAATCTTCGGAAATTTGCATGTTTCCAATCAGCATGTGTGGCATGGTTCACGGGATTGTCTGGACGTCAAAGCGCTCAAATTATGCATTGTTCGGACGTGGTGACGTGCGTCCGAGGCCCAGTAACAGTTGATTGTGTTTCTCCGCCCCCAGGTTGACGTCGGCACCAGCTGAGTCGTGTAGAACGGCTTGTCACGCGCTCTGAGGTGTCCGGTGCCGCTTTGGGCCCGGCATCGACCACCGGCTGGAACGGATCGATTCAGCCCGCAGGGCTCGAGACAGGCCTCTCCAGAGACGGGGGCGGCGTCTCTCAGGAGACCGGCACCGCGTCTCCCGCAAGACCCCACCGGCCCTGCCGCCGCCCTTCGCGGCGTCTCCGAGGACAGACTCTGCGGCGAGCGTCGGCAGAGCTCGTCCGGGTCCTCAGACCACGAGGGCAGTGTCCTCGCCCGTCCTCCCGGCTCGTCAAGCCGCCGCGACGGACGACTGCTCGGCTCAGCCCCGGACCGAGCCCCGCAGTGACAGTGCGCTGCCGCGCGCGTGAGTGACAGTGCGTGTGCTCCGCCGCCGACCGTGGCGCCGACATGACACCGCCGCCGCTGCCCCCGCTGCTGCTGCTGCTGCTGTCCGCCTCCGCGGCAGCCGACCTGGACGTGGCGAGTAAGTGCTCCGGCGAGGAAAGGACACAGCGCCGATGTCGTGTCGCTGCACCGCGGCGCCCTCCGTCGGCGACGTGTCGTAACGGATACGGTCGTAACTCAGAGCCGATCTTATCTCCGGGGAGGCGCCGCGGCGTGCGACCGTGCGGCCGCCGCGCCGAAACCGGAGATATATCGGCCATCGCGTGCGGACGTCAAACTATAGGGAAACCCGCGTCAAATGCGTATAATCGTGATAATTGCCGGCCGCAATTAGTCCTTATCTTTCCATTCAGTGCGACCGCCGACCAGAGATTTGGTCACATGGCATCACGGCACCGGCCGATGATATACATTTGACTTTGGGCCGTGCGATGCTGCCGGAGCCGTTGCCGTGATGTTAGTTGGGCGTGCCGGCGAGGGTGTGCGATAAATCCCCGAGTAACCGGCCATAATAGCAGCCATCGCCGAAATGTCAGGCGCGACTCAGGGGTGTGATTTTCTTCTCGGCCGAACCGCTTAATATGTTAAAAAGGCTTGACGGCGGCGTCGGGAAAATGACGACAAAAACGGCATGGAAGACGAGCTGGCGCCGCCCTCCGCACAGCTCGGTCACCGCTCGTTAGGGGCGTGAGGGGGGAGGAGTGGTGCGGTGGGCGGAGCGTGGCCTGATGGAGACCACTTCCGGGTCCCAGACTCGGACCCGACGGCTCCGACCGCAGACTAACGGACCACGGACCTGAAATCCACACATCTGAAGAGCATCGGTGCACTCGCCGCTCTTGACCTGGGGCGAGTGGGTGGATTCGTCCGGCGTCCGAATTTGCGAGCGCCGTGTCTCCGAGTTAAGCTGGTTTGTTTGCCGCTCGGTCGCACCGAGAGAGTGAGAACTTCTCGCCAAACTAGGGGATGGTGCTGGTTGTTCCGGTGATTAGGACAGGGCTCCTCAAGTGAGCTGCATGTGCAAACATTTACGGAGGCAACTTTCGGGAGCGAGTGCACTTTATTTCGCTTGCTCAGTCCACCCCGGATGGACTTGAGAATGGTCTAACTCCTTCGAGTCCCGCGTGGCTTTTGCAACCGTGGAGGATCACACCTCGTTACAAAGCGATATAACAATCAGCCGGATGGAGCCAGAGCGAGCTAGATCACCTCCCCATATTTCGCTCTTCATCGGCGTAAGCCGACAAAGGTCGCGCCGTCCACGCGTGCGCAGGACCAAGCGATGGGACCAGCCACTCGGCAAAGGTCACACCGCCTCTCAGAACTAAGCCGCCGCTGTACCTGGCAGAGCGTGAGAGCATGGCCCCGTCCGGCCCTGCCGCCATCGGAGCGATGACAGGCGAGGGCAGAGCATGGGACGGCGCGTCGCGGACGGAGAGGTGGCGTGGATGGGTCCTCCCCCCCCCCCTGACCCACGCTTCTCATGTGAAGTGGCTGCTTGCACATGTCCGGGGTCGGGGACATACCTCTGTCACTGTGCCGCGGTGGGACGGTACAGGGCGCGCTAGCCGCAGTTTATGGAACGGATGAGAAGCCGGGCAGCGGCGGACGGATGTGATGGGCCGCACGCGAGTCTGAGGGACGGCCACCCGGATAACCCCGCCAGCGGCGGGCGATGACGTTTGCCCTCGGCTGATGGATGTCCGTCGCCAGTGCGCCGGCGAAATGAAGGGTCGTTGGAACACGTCCGCGCGCCCCGGAGTTCCGGAGTTCCGGCTCCAGAAGCTTGACCGCGCCTCAAGTTGGGCAGTTGGCCGCTCGTGTTTGGTCGGTGCCGGCCCCGTGCAGACAGCTGTCTGGTCTTCGTCGGTGACGCGCTCAGGTGCCGCCGCTGCTGAGCGCCAGTCGGGCCCGTTAGCCCCGGCCGGTTCGCTGCAGCCGCGCCGGCGGCGTGATGGCGTCGGGAAGCTGCTGGCTGGCGGTATTACAGCTCCGTGTCTGATAAGCGGCCAGTTCCGGAGTGCGTGGGTTCTGGAATCACCGAGACACACTAACAAGCAGGTAACGGTGTCCATTTTTAATGTGGACGAGGAAATGATGTGTTTTTGAGTGACGCTGGGGTCAGAGCCGCTACGCTTGGCTGTTATGCGTGCATTCGGCATCAGCTGAGTGACACATGCTCGTGTGGATGGCATACGGATGCCAGGGATTGTCATGCCGTACCCTGGACCAGATGTCAGAAGCATGCAGGAGGCATACAGGAGGAGACGTTGAAGAAGACAAGCCTGACGTCCCGCTACAGGGCTTCATCCTTCAGTGAGACGACTTTGGGGTCGGCGTTTTTTTTTTGTCAACGGGCTCGGAAACACGCGTCTCGTAATGGCACCTCCTCCAGGGTACCCAAATGCCCAACGGACTATGGGACTGAGCGATGCTGCGGGGGATCTGGGAGCCCGCTTGTCCGTGGGACCTTCACGATCCGACTCGGCCGTCGCCGGGGTCGACCCCTGCCCCAGACATCGCGGTGGAGCGCGTGGAGTACCGCCCGTCGCTCGCCGACCTCCAATTACACGTGGCTGGCCCGCGGCCGGCCGCAGTGCCGTAATTACCCGGCCGTGGACGGGCCGGCCGGCCCGGGGCGGCACGGGCGACGGCGGGCCGCCCGGCCGCCCGGATAACAAGGGCATTACGACGGCCGGCGCGGCGTGCTCGGCCTGAGCAGCGGACCAGCGCGACAGATGAAGACGCTGCCAGAGGACGGCAGGGCGAGCGGCGCGGCGGGGACGGGAGGCAGTCAGGCGGCGTGGGTCTCCTGGCGGGGCGGGCGGGGCAGGTGGGGTGCGGTGCGCTCGGCAGATGCCGCTCTCGTGCTCATTGATGGGATGGTAATGAGGATAAAATGGTGATCAGGAAACCGAGGGTTTGTGTGTGAGAGTGCTCCCTCGCAAGGGTAGCACACTCCGTAGAAGGATAAGTGCACTCAGGCGGAACAAGCCGGTATCCTTTCCCCTCGAGCACGTGCCCGAAATGAGGGGTTCACGTTCATACAAATGACACGCTCAGACGTTTTCACCTAGTTTGATTGCATTCATTGCGGGCAATTTGCCCGTACAGATTCCGTGCCTCGATCGCATTTCACCCGGCGAAGTGTCGAAAAAGCGGCACGAGAGCGGTTTCCAATCCGCTGCCCATCATTTGGGGTGCTTCACCCACGTCGTCGTCTGACTACGGCGCCCGCGGCGCTGCACGGACATTCCGCAAGACTCGTTTACAAACCAACGATCGCGTTCCTTTCGCCTGCCTCTTGCTGGGCTGCCTTGGCTCAATGCCCAGATTGGATTGGAAAAATTGAGCTGTAAAATCATTTGGCAGGCTTCTAGAGACAATGGGTAAGTCTCTCGGGCTTGTGTCAAGGCGGTGTTTTGGCCAGAATACGCAAAACACCACGAATGCTGTGACGCCTGCAGCGTAATGAGCCCATTGGACAAGACTCGCCGTGTGCAGCTATCAGGCGCCAGCCTTGGTTTGACATTGGGCAAGACTCACCCTGTGTAGCTGTCAGGGGCCAGCCTTGGTTTGAAACGTATTGTCTGCGCCGTTTGTAGCGTTTTCTCCTGGGGTGATGGGTGGAGTCCATGCATGCAACCTCCACCCTAAATGGTGGCAAACAAAATCCGTCTCGTTTTAAATAACCCTGCTCTACGCCTTCCACGTGAACGTAACTCACACATGCGTTATTTTGTTGTGCGTCTGCGTGCAGATGTGAGCACGTCTAAGCTCACCCGGCCACCCTGCGTGGTGCCTTTGAAGTCGTGACGCCACCCTGGGTCCCTGACGTGACGTGACGCCACCCTGGGTCCTTGACGTGACGCGACGCCACCCTGGGTCCTTGACGTGACGCGACGCCACCCTGGGTCCTTGGCGTGACTTGACGCCACCCTGGGTCCTTGACGTGACTTGACGCCACCCTGGGTCCTTGACGTGACTTGACGCCACCCTGGGTCCTTGACGTGACGTGACGCCACCCTGGGTCCTTGACGTGACGCGACGCCACCCTGGGCTCGTGACGTTTCCAGCTGAGATGTTCGCGCCTCTCTCCGTCTTCGCCTGAGTTGGAACCGAACGCCAGGCTGAAACGGAGTTATTACTTATTTATTCCCATAAATCTAGATGTGTTTTCCCTTGCCAAACGCGACATTGCGGCATTGTCAAATAAATGGCTGCCACTTGCGTCAACGTCTCTGTGGGGTACAAAAGTTGTTTACCAAGCCCTCCATCCACAATGCGCCGTCCCCCTATTTATTCACAGTTCTGCTGTGACGTTGGAATGTTTATTCTTTACCGTATGATGAACCCACCCACCCAGTCATCAGCCCACAAGCGAACCCGTCCCGTCAGAGGAGCGTCGCTGAGCGTGCCTCCCAGCTTTCGATTCACCATCCTCAGCCAAGAGTGCTAGCCGGTTAGACACCGCATTTAGGCCCCTGTGAGTGCAAGCTCGCCCAGCTCCCTCCACCCATGCAGCGCCTATCTATGGGTCGCTGCCTCAGTCTACATAGTTACATGCTCGTGGCAGGCTCGTGACGCAACACCGCCCCGCCGCTGAGCTCCTCCGCGGTCGTGCGGTGTGAGGCCTCCCGTCCGCCTCTAGTCCCCGGAGTCACTGACGGGTCACCGCTGTCCGCTGAACCGTCCGCCTCTAGTCCCCGGGGTCATTGACGGCTCACCGCTGTCCGCTGTCCGGTGAACCGTCCGTCCCTAGTCTCCGGGGTCACTGACGGCTCACCGCTCTCTGCTTTCCGTTGAACCGTCTGTCCCTTGTCTCTGAGGCCCCCGACGGGTCACCGCTGTCCGCTGTCCGCGGTCCGCTGAATCGTCCGTCCCTCGTCTCTGAGGCCTCTGACGGGTCACCGCTGTCCGCTGTCCGCGGTCCGCTGAACTGTCCGTCCCTCGTCTCCAATGACAGCTCCTCGGGGCCAGTGACGCTCGCCGCTGTGTGCCGCCGCCGGCGTCTCGGGTTTCAATGAACCGACTGCGGCAGCCGCTAAGTGGTCTCGTATTTATCGTCCCAACGTACGGACGAGACGCTCCCAGTGTTCGGATCGATCGTGTTATTGGTTCCGGAGCAATCAAGTGTTTTAGTTGATGCTCCATGAAATTGGAGCTGCTGTACATGCTGCTCGTAATCGCCTCGTATCAGTTGCCAGAGCGTGCTTCAGCCTGTATCCTCGTTCATGAAAGGTCGTCGATCAGACTTTAATGAGTGTGGAGGGCAAAGCGAGCAAGCCAGCGTTTAACGTCCATATTTGTTATGGCTATGAGGGAGCTGGTCTGCAGACCTTAAAACAGCACTGCACGTCTGCATCTCAGCTTTCAGGGCTCAGGTGAGAGGGGCACTGGCAAAGACATTTTATGGGATTTCCAACGCCATTGTAATGATGAGAGGAGGGCGCCCCTCATGCAGGTCACGTGCGCTGATTTTATCGAGTGTTGGCACGTTGGCTGCGGCCTTGGTATCGTGACCGTGCGGTGGGTGACTGGCCGCCTGTGCGGCGCCTTCCGCGGGAGCTGGGCGCACCTCACTTCCGTCGCCCGGCTGTCCGCCGGAGCGACCGCCACGCATTCCAGTCTGTCACCGGGCCTGCATTAACGGGGGAGGAGGTGCCGATGGCGCACGCCATTGGTGCCAATTTATAACCGGCCTTCAGTCGCCAACACCGCCGGCGCGGAAACAAAAACACTCGCCCGAGGGGCGAGCGGCGAGTTTTGCGGACCGGTGATTTCACAACTTGGACGCGATTTGCCGCGCCAGGCAGGTTTTTCTGCCGCCACCTGTGCCGGACGCTCCTCGTCGCGAGCCAATACAGCGGTATGCTCTGGCGTGCCCTAGGACGCACCGTGTTTACCTTGCATATTAAATCGAGCATCATGCACGATATGGTCTGCAAACCCGGGCGTGATTTAGGTCTCTGCCGTGCAGTGTTTAAATAGTGGGTTCGTACACGGCTGATGGGAATACACCATTATATCGGCTCCATAATATGCACTTGAAGCAGCTGAGGTCTGATTCAAAAAGTTCTTAATTCGATAAAGCTGAGCTGAACCTCCATAGCTTTTTGGGGTGAAATATTATTGAATGGCGAAGACAATTGTGGTCGTCTTGATAGGCGTGCTCAGCAGCGAACATTAATAAGTACATACAAGGGCTGTCTACCGGCATTGACGTTTATGGCGCTTGTAGTCGGCACGCAAAAGCATTCATGGTTGATGTCTGACATAAATTAATCGCCTACAGTGAAGTATGACCAAATATTTTACAAGGCAACGATCAATTGAAGCACACAGGCGCGAGCACGCGCCGCCTGCTGACGTCATATATTGACCACTGCCGTGTAGTGGCTGGGCGAAGCCGGACATCCCATCTCGGCACGCCATGGCTTCCTGTATTATGAAGCCTTTGTCAGGCTGCCCGTCGTAAATGTTCAGGGGCGGGCGGAAACAATGATTGATGACAGCCCATATAGACCGAGAGTCATCATTAATGGAGAAGAAGAGGGCGCTGTTCCGTCTGATGAATAATCCACGAGGCCGGAGACGTCAAAGGATGAGCCTGGGGTGTTCATGTTTTTGCTTACGTGCACTCGTATCTAGATAGTCTAGACTTTAACTTGAAAACTGAAATGGTCGTGCCTGATATCAGCGTTGTGCGTCTGGAAAAGACTCGGCTTTTTAAAGCCGATAAAACGCATCCAGATGCAATCAACTTGAAGTGTTTACACGCACTCATTTCAAACGCGACAGATTAAAGTACGCAAAGCTATTCGGGCAGACCCTTCGTCATGTCCAGAAAGCGTTCCGAGTCAGAGCCGAGCAGGCCGCTGATCTGCCGCTCCGCCCCGGCCGGCCCGGCGGCCCTGCCTCCGCCGCTGCCGTCCGCAGGCGCTCCATTTCTCCTCCAGCGCGGCTAAATTCATCATCACTCGGCCGGCCGGCCGGCGCCGAGGCGCTCCTCGCCTCGCCTCGAAAACACACCGCCGCCGCTGCGATAGCCCCGCGCCGGACAGCTCGCCTCGATTGCCGTTCGCCCCGGCCGTGTCCGGCGCGCTGCCGGAAAACAAAACACCGCTGCCGGCGTCGACGGACCGCGAAACGGCGCGCCGCGTCTGGAGCAGGAAGGGCGCGCGTGTTGACGGGCTCGCGCGTCGGCGGCGGCGACGGCTTGTCGGCGAACGCGGCGCGGCCGCTCGCCGACGCGCCGGACATGTGTTTGTGCGTAAGGTGGCGCTGTGTTGAGTGCGCGCGTGGCTGTTTGTGGCCGCTTCCGCGAACTGTGGGCGAGGCCGGGTCATCTGAGGGACGACAAGGGGGTGGGGAGCCGGCGGTGGGGACGGGGGCGGATGTGGTGGCGGAGCAAGGGCGGGATCGGGCCGAGACGGCATGCCCCGAGGGACGCCCTGTACCCAGCGCCGCTTACGTGGGCGTCCTCAGAGAAAGTGTCCACCTCCGCGGCTGTCGTTTAGCCGGTAAAACCGTCTCGAATGCGGCGTCGGCCGCCTCCGAGGTTATTCGAGCCGCGGCCCTTCGTGTCTCTGGGGTCTGGCCGTCTGTCGCATTCCGCTCATTGTCTGTGAATGGGACAAGCTGGCGTCGACCGGCTGTTACCGAACACACACCCTCGCCGTCTCTCCCTCCCCCTCTCTCCCTCTCTCTTTCCCTCTGTCATCTCCCTTTCTCTCTCTCATGCTTTCCACCTCTCTCTCTCTCTCTCTCTCTCTCTCTCTCTCTCTCTCTCTCTCTCTCTCTCTCTCCTCTCTCTCTCTCTCTCTCTCTCTCTCTCTCTCTCTCTCTCTCTCTCTCTCTCTCTCTCTCTCTCTCTCTCTCTCTCTCTCTCTCTCTCTCTCTCTCTCTCTCTCTCTCTCTCTCTCTCTCCCATCTTCTCTATCACTACCTTCCCTCCCTCTCACTCTACCTACTCTTCCTTTTATCACTCTACCTTGCTCTTTTCTGCCTCTCCTTGTCCCCTCTCTCGCACTGTCTCATTCCGTTTTTCGTCCCGTTTTCTCCAAACACGCGATGTCTGGCCGCTTCGAATTTTGCCACGTGCGCGCCTGCATTTCGTTAGCAGTTCTTTCATCCAGTCTGTTCCTTTCATCTGACCTATTTTTCAGTCCTCGGTGACATTTCACATATCTCTCCTCTCAATCGAGCTATTCCTGCACCTGGAAACCTAGACCCTCACGACGCTGAAGCTGGCCTGCCCGTCACCTACCTCCTGGCCATATCATGGGCGACGCCATCTTCTGGGCAACCATAACCGTCAGACACCCATTCTCCCACACCGACGGGCTCTACATCCCACCCAAGCCAATAGCGTTTCAGAGATAGCACGCTGCACACATTGTATGACACGACTTGACCGAAAACCAATCCCATTTTCACCTTCCATCATTCTGAAAAACGAGGTTGGAGCGGCTCGTACCGGGCGCCGGTCAGCCGGTTGATCAGTGACGTCACTGATCCGCTTCGATCGGCGTATCCCGCCGCTGGGACCGGGCCCGCTTCGGGCGGAGACCGCGCCGGTCGAAGTTGGCCGCCTTCATGACAGTCCTGTGGCTGACCGGTCCTCACTCTCGGCGAGTCGTACCGTCACAGGGCCCCTTGCTCGTGCTCCAGTCCCTATCATAGGGCCTCTTGCTCATGCCCTGACCAAAATTGCAAGGCCCTTTGCTCATGCTCTGGTCCCTATCGCAGGGCCCCTTCCTCATGCCCTGGCCCCTATTATTGGGCCTCTTGCTCACACCCTTGCCCCTATTACAGGGCCTCTTACCAATGCCCTGGCCTCTATCACAAGACCCCTTGCTCCTGCCCTGGCCCATATCACAGGGCCCATTCCTCATGCCATGGCCTCTTTCTCTTTTTCCCTGCGTTTCCGCCGATCGTCTCAGTCCTCCGCGCGTCCAGCTCGGTCGACCCAATCACCGCAAGAAGTCGCGTCGCGTCTGTTGTGGGACCTCTGACCGACCTCTGACCTCTGACCGAACGGAGTCCCTCGCTGCGCGACGTCGCATTCCTGCCCTGATGACGCCACCACCCGCCGGGCCGCCGTCAGCTGACTGACGTCGGCCGGCCAGCTGACGGCGCGCGGCGTGCGGCGACACTGCTGACGCCCGCGGCAAACATCCGCCGCGAGCGGTCCGTCGCCGAGGCGAACAGCGGCCATCAGCTGCACCGGCGGTGCTGTCGCGGGGCTCGACAGCCAGCGGGCGCCGGCGTCGAGTTTCTGTTGGCTGCAGTAATGCGGCGACTGTTGACTGACGCGGCTCGCCTGAAAGCTGGGTCAACGGAGGCTCGGGTTCTTTCGAACCCAGTCGCGTGATGCCGGTGACGGCACGTGCCCGCTCCCTGCGGCCCCGTGTCGAGACCGACCAGGAAGAGCCGAGTGGCCGCCAGGGACATGGGCGGACGTTTGTTCGGTTTTGATTCAGCTGTCAGTTGCAGGTGCTCACGCGGAATTTCGGAACGAGCGCGTGGGTGAATGTAATTTGAGTTATGAGGGCCTGTTGAGAAATCTTGACAGACGCCTGATGTTTTATTCACCGTCGCATCTAGTGCTAACTAAACAGTCATGGCTGATCCGTTATTCACGAGGGCCTAGTCTTCTCGGATCGGTGCTAAATCTTCCGCTTCTTGGTGAGACCTTCTTCATTGGCGAACGGTGCCAGTAACCATCAGAGTGCATATTCAATTATAATAAGCAAAGTATAGCTCAACTGTTCTGGCATAATGCAAGCCATGACTTTGCTCCAGTGTACATGCAGCCCACATAAACCCTTGATGTTTTCTAGGTCTGTACGGGAAAATACGAAAAGGTAAGGAGAGCGGATATCTTGAATGTGCGGGCGTGAAGAACGTCGTTCCTCAACACATCGTTCTATGTGATGCGAATGGATGTGCATGCTTTTTAATGTTGACCTGTCGTCTGTTTGGTGATAACTTAGGTTAATCTATTTCTAACGTCTGTATTGGCATGCAGCCCATGTGTGACCAGATCAAATGATGTCGAGAGAAAAAGGGGCCTATCTGGCTGGGGAGATGCGTTATTAGAAGGATGTTATTGCGCGCCAGGGGCGCGGCTGCGACGAAAAAAAAACGTTCATCTGCCCTGAAGCATGCCAAGGAAGAGACAATTTTCATACGCTGCGTGTTTATACAGACTGTGTTAGTGCTTAGGAAGTAGTTCACTTTCCTTGAGCTTTGGCAGCGTTGAGTGCAACAGTGAAGTTTAAGAAGAGCTTATTTGCCTTCAGCTCAGAAGCCCCGCGGAAGGGTGCAGTGAAATTTGCATGCACATCCAGCTCCTATAGTCGAAATTGCACGTGCGTTCAGCTGCGTTCTTTCGTTGAATAGATGGGGAACCGACTTAGCATTTGCTATCGGCATGATGCCACCCGCTTGGCATTGGCCTCTCTTAATGTCGGTGTTTATTGGGTTGAGTAAGAAAAGATAGCATGCGCCTGGCCGCCCGATTCGCAAGAAGACGCGAAGATCCGTCATTTACCAGCCTCGCGACATTGTGCATGGTCCATCTTTGGCCACATCCAAAACACAATCTGCCAGTAGAGAATTGGAGCGTGTGGCCAACACAGCTACCAATGGATAAACGGGAAGCACAAAAGGAACAGATTCGCGCGTGTAAGTGGACCAAGCTGCATTGCGTGCCGCACACAAGTGCCCTGCAAAGGAAAGACCACAACACATCCAACAAACAGCCATATGTGACGAGGTTCGCCTGCCGCCACCGCCGCACCGCCAGCAAGCACGCTCACCGCGCGCCACTCCCGCCTTCCAGCACGCACACGCCTCATTCGGAGGGTTACGTTAGCGCACGGCGCCGCCGCCCACGCGGACTCCGTCAGCGTCCGCTCGCAGCTGGTCCCCACGCACCGCTCGCCGCCGCTCGCACGTCACGTCGATGTCGACGACTGCAGCGTCGACGCCGACGGTCCAGCCTTGATGAGCCGCCGCCCGTTGGGTTGGCCGTCGCTGGCGGCGCGCGGCGCGTCTGTCGACGGCGCCGCAATCGGCTCCAGGTGCCGCGCGCGCCTTTCATCGCGCCGCGCCGTAATCGCCGCGTGCGCGACGAGGGCTCGTCCGGACGAGGATGAGGACGATGGCCCGGACGGACCGACGCGCGGGGCGTGGACGCGGGCCCCGACGACCGAACCCTTTTGGGCTCGCGCAGACTCGTTCCGAATCGGACGGACGAATGCACTTTGCAGATCCGTTCGGACGAACCAGCAGAACCAAGGCGGACGAGCGCTGACGCGGGGAGCGCGCTGTGCAGAGGGTGACGTCGCTGGGTGTTGCAGGTCGGCTGATCAACGTCTCAGCTGTGGAGGGCAAGACAGCTGAGCTTCCCTGTGACGTCACACCGCCCATAGCTGGCGACGAGCTGCGACTGGTGCTCTGGTACCATGGCACCGGGGGAACGCCCATCTACACGTGAGTTGACACGCTGGCGGTAGCGCTATGACAGGAATGCCACTTGACTGCGTTGTAGTTTCAGTGCATCTGATAAACTGAGTGTCGCAGCTCGCACTCTGTCGTTGCGTTATTTCGTGCGTTTGGCAATATGTCTGGCGTGTTTTCGCGGTGCTGCTAATGCGGTAAGCCACTGCCCCGTGACGCGGCGCGTGACACGAGGCAGAAGAGCCCATCCCGTTCCCGCCGGACGGCGTGCCGACCTAGACGACGCGTCCTGACCTTCTCAGCTCCGCGCTGATCGTCCCTAGCCTGAAGCCGCCAGTCCTTCCACCCTCGTAACACCGCGGCAGTTACCGCCGACCCGGCGATGGGCCGATAGAGCCGCTCAGCTCGGGGGCCGACCCGCCGGCACCGTTTTGGCCGTAAAACTTTGACGACGCCCTGTCTGGATGTATTGAGCTTTACGCCATCAGGGAGTTCGTTGAGCGAATGAGCTGCGTTGAGCCCCCCCCCCCCCCCCTCCGTCCGCTCTCGACAACCGTATACCGAATGAGGGCCATTAAATGAAATGGCTCAGCTGAATGTAGCTTGTAAATTAGTGGCCGTCACAACGGGAGTATCTTTAGTTGCCAGGCTATGGACTCGGAGAGAGGATATTGCTGCTCTCTCGTCAGGGGTAATGGAAGCTCCCCATGTTGGGGGGGGGGGGGGGGGAGGAGCGATAACCTTTTTTGTTATTTCCTTCCAGTCAACAATTGAAGGGCCACTGTTACGTCTCCAGTGTATGTGCGTGAGGGTGGCACTCCTCTCTAACACCCCTAATTCAAGCGCACTTGTCTGTCATTTTTTTTTTGATTCTGGCTATTTTCTCTTAGAGCTTAATGCTTTTCATTCGTTAGCGTGCGATGTTTGTTTTCTTTCACACACTCTTCTCGGTGTCATTTTCTCTTTTTTTTCTCTTCTCCCCTTTACTAATTCTTTTGACGTTTTCGATCATTTCGATGTATGCTATGACTACTCCATCTTGCTAACTCTCCCGGACTTGAATACCACAGTATGTGTTCTGTTGGGAGCGCACTTGTCAACTATGATATTGTGTGGTAGAGCCACATTATCAAAATGGATATTACAGTGTGTCGTGATTTTGTTAGTGATATGTGATGCTGCTGGAATTGATATTGTGACAGGTGATTCTGCTGGAATGGATATTGCTCGCTTTATTTCGTCCTTGTTGCGACCGAAATTTATTATCATTTTGTAAAACCATAAGCTAATAATGCGTTTGGAGTGAATTGCAACGAGGTATTTTCCAATCATGAACAGTCGTGAAAGCTTAATCTTTGAGAGGCCTGGTTTGTCATGCATTGCAAATGCATTCGGTGGGCATTCGGTGGGCGTTCCGAGCACATTGCACTGCCGGTCGTGAGAACGCAGACTAAGCGAGCCAGACTGCGCGCACCAGAAAGGCTCCAGCGGCGGGTGAAACGACACGGGGGACGTCCACCGGCTGTCAGCCGCCTTCCGCAGACTGGTCGTTGTCAGATCGGACCCGCGCTGAGACGGCTGCTTGCAATGTTTAGGCGGCATTGATCTGGGCTGACGACCGAAATCAGGACAATGAAGCTTACAACAAGCGGGATACCTTGTTTCATGTCTGTCAGATCCTAACTAGCAAATTTGTACTCTGGTGCAGAGTACACATTTCCAATTCTAACTCCGACCAGTGCCTTTGTTTTCGACGCATTTTACAAGACATTACAAATAGCCTCACCTTGCCTGACCGCATTGGTTGCATTACAGGAACGGGTATCCCCACTAAGATAAGCCGCGATTTAGATATCGTAATATGCAATAGTTCAATGTTGCTGGACTCCGAGGCAACATCGTGGGAACAGGCGGTCTGCGTGCCCCGCTCGTCGCGCCTGACTGTACGCTGCGATAGTCATGCCCTGCTGAGATGTCGTGCTTGCGGCCAGGTATGACGCGCGGGGGCGCAAGACTCTGCGCGGGGCGCACTGGGTGGACTCCAGCCTGGACCAGAAGCGAGTGCAGTTCCAGCCGGACTCCCAGCCGGCCCATCTACGGGTGAAGACGGTGAAGCGGGAGGACCAGCGCCTGTACCGCTGCCGGGTCGACTTTCTCCACTCGCCCACCAGAAACTCGCGCGTCAACCTCACCGTCATCGGTGAGTACCGGCTCTCAGTCGCTTGTTACCTCACCGAGGAACTGACGCTGTCATCTCCATGCCTTTCTTCTCAGGTCCCGATTTAGGCAAATTCACCCGAATTTGGTATGATGTACATCCGGTAACGCCAGAGCAAGGCAATCGTCGTCCACAGCACAGCTCACGGCTCGTGTCTCACTGTGTGTATCGCCGCTGCCGTCTGCATCGTTCGCGCATCATCTTCTATCAGCTTTGGCGTCTCCATGCTAGGGTGACGCCACTGCCACCCCGCCTGTCACGTACAGGCAGCCCCCCCCCCCCCCACCCGCGGCGTGACTGTGTCGGTCACGCGCCTCCCGCCTGTCACGCGCGCCGCCGGCGCGTGTGTCTTGGCGCCGGCGCTGTTTACGGAGCGGCGGCGAACGATCGGGCGGCACCTTCCGACACCGGAAGCGCCGATATTGACGTCCGTTTCCCGCGGGAGGAATCTGAGCGCGGCCATTAGCCTCCGATCGCGGCGGGCGCGCTTTTTCGGCCGCATCGGAAGGGCTGGTGGAGCGGCGCGTGTTAATGGAAGCGCCGGCGGCGCCTCGGTCGCGGCCGCGCCGGTTGATGGCCGACCCGGGGTGCCACCGGCCGAGACAACGCCGTTCGGCTATCGGCGGCCCATTTGTCAGCGGGCGCGGCGCTCGAGATTGGCCAGTTTGTTCGGCTTCCGGGCGTCGCAGCGTTAAGAGGGGGATGGAGGGCCGCCTGTGCGCGGAACCTTAGAAAACAATGGAACGGCGGTACAAAACTTGGTCACCATTTTAAAGTAATCACTCCATTGTTCGTTCGATCCCGAACAGTTTTAACTTACTCTTAAATCCTGTGAGTATTCTGTCATTGTCTGTGGCGGAGGGTCTTTTAGTTGGCAGTGTTTTGCAGGTGTCGCTTTGAGAGTGGATTTCTTGAGCGGCAAAGCTCGTTTAGAAAGACTCTGATCCTACCATCTACCAATACAAATTATATTTCAATAGATAAGTTGCGATATGCGTTTTGACAGAGGTCTATACTAATAATATGCTCGTTTCATTGTGTGTCCTTTAAGTGCTCTTGCTATTTCGAAATATGCAGGTGCCTCACTCCTGGTGAAATGGCTAATCGTTCTGCTAATATGTCGGCCCCCAATGCTGTTCCCTCCGCTCACGTCACTTAAGACGGGTCCTCACATCACCATCACCTCTGTTAAGTACGTCTGACACTAAGATCTGCTTGTGAATGTACCGCACCCGAGTCTGACGCCCCTCCGCGCGAGCCTGCGCGCCGTGTTTGGCTATGGGCGAAACAACGCCGACCGCGGACCGAGCGTGTAACCGAGCGCTGCGGCACAGTCTACAAGCAGCCGCGCAGGCGGCAGCGGTGGGCGCGCAGTAACGACCTTCCCCGGCCGGCGGCGGACAACGATATCCGCTGGCGGAACAGATTCACTCAATGCAATTTGGCAAAAGTCCCGGTCGTTATTCTGGATAATTTCCTCCAGCGTTCATGTTGAATGATATGCGGAGCCAAATAGGCCATCCCTGCATTGCGTATCCGCAGAATCTTTTCGCGTTGGACCAGCTGCCGGTCCTCCACGTCCGTTATTGATGGGCCGGTCCCTCCGCGCGTGACGGCCACCAATGCGGCCGTGCTGAAAAGCTGCAGTATGATTTATTCGCATAAATGCTGGCCCCGATCCTAACGATATGGATTTCGCCTGCTCTGGCGTCCGTGCGACAGCGGCCGACGTCTTGTGGGGGAGCGGCGAGCGGCCGCTGGGGAGTGGAGGGGGACGGCCATGTCTTCTGCTCTGGCGGAGACGAGTAGCGACCGGCCGCCGGCACCGGTCACGTGTCGGAAATGGCTGGCTTGTCCGTATGTGATGGTGTTGTTTGGCGTTAGCCGGTGGCAGAGAGCATCCGATAATATCGGCGCTACGCCGGTTGACGGGAGTGTGCTGTCAACGGCGAGCATCCCTTAGTATCAACGCTGCGACAGATGACAGGAGTGTGCTATCACCAGAGAGCATCCCTTAGTATCAACGCTGCGACAGATGACAGGAGTGTGCTATCACCAGAGAGCATCCCTTAGTATCAACGCTGCGCCAGATGACAGGAGTGTGCTATCACCAGAGAGCATCCAATAGTATCGACGCTGCGCTGGATGGTAGGCTGTCACCAACTTCTTCTTTCATACATTTTACAACCCACTAGCTCATGCTGTTACCTGAAATCATGCACGAACAATGTTTCATTGGCGTGTCTTTCGGCACCTCTTGGACATTCTGTAGCGTCATCTTGCAATTCGCGAACACGATGCAAACAAGTGCACCCACTCGCCTACTACCCGCCGCGCAAATACGTTCTGGAGCATGCACAAACAGTTCTGTTTGCGCCACCCGGCACTGCGTGGGAAGAGGGCGCTATCTTGTTTCTGGTTTTGACATCATGCGATTAGAATGACACATTACGATGATGATGCGCCATTCGCGGGAGCGTTGTCGTCACGACTGGTGCTTTAGATGGAGCGCTACCCCTAAATCCACCTCAACGAGCGCCCCAGTCTCATCAGCTGAATATAGGTCTGGTAGCGAGTGGTTCGGTGATTAGGAGAACTCGTGCAACTAAAGGGAAAACTCGCGATGGCCACGCCTCAGCGCATTGTTTTGACTCATTGCGATCCGAACGTAATTCAAGCACGGCTCCATCTTGCACCAAGAACTGGTCGCAGTCCTGCTGTCACCCGAGGTAAGGATCACTGTTCGCACCGCTGTGACCCCATCACGAACCATTTTCCCCACTCGAAGTGATCAATGCCTACATTGCATCGCGGCGACGCTGACTGTCGCGGACGTCACCAGCTTCGGTGAAATCACGTGTCGTGACGTCACCCTCCGCTGTGCTTGCAGTGCCACCAGATCCACCGGTGCTGTACGACGGCCAAGGGCGGCTCGTGCGCCAGGTGGCCGGCCCCTTCCGCGAGGGTCAGACGGCGACCATCACCTGCGTCACCGGCGGAGGTGGGTGCCATCCCGACCTGGACTGCGACCCTGACTCTGACTCGGCAGGGAAGAATGTGTTCCTACCCCCTCCCCTGAGTCAGGGTTTGAGTCGGTCGCAGCGGTAGCCACCACCTGTGCCGCCGGTGGGCGTGAGAATGACCACCGACCCCGGCCGGCACTGCTCGTCCCGCTTCAGAGCGATTCTCACCCCGGTCATCGATGGAGCTCGTGGGCTCGACCCCCGTGAAACTGTTACACTGCATTTGCCCGTGAATCTCCGGGAATTTCTGGGCTGTGCATAGGAGCATGTGACTTGCAATTTTGACGATGACCCCGCCTCGTATACACAAACACATTTTAGTATCCTCAACTGGCATGTAAAACACTCTATTTCACCACATTTTAATGTGAACCAATGAACAGCCCCAGCGCTGTCTAGTCTATCTCGCCCGCAAATCTCTGACCTTGACCTGACGTCGCTCGACGTTGACTGGGCCGCAGGCTCGCCGTCCCCGAACGTGACCTGGTGGAGCGGCAACGCGCTGCTGGACCGCTCCTGGCAGGCGGCCGCCGACGGCTCGGTGCGCAACCAGCTGACGTTGGGTCCGCTGACCCGGGATGACCTGGGTGCCGAGTTCACCTGCTGGGCCACCAACCACGTGCTGAGTCCGCCGCGCTCCACCACGCTGCGGATGGAGATGCTTTGTGAGTGGCCGGCCGGGCGGCGCGCCGCTCCCGGGGCGGATGGAGGGGGGCAGGCGGGGGGGGAGGGGGGGGGCGATGCCAGGCTTGTCAGTTGTTGAGAAGTTAAATGACTTTAAGCCGCTCGCGGCAAATACATGATTAACGAGCCAGACAGATGTTTCGGTGTTGTTTTTGTAGAATTATCGAACTTTTTCAAAGCCTTGTTTTGGTCGCCGAATTTCAACGTCATCGCTTTGATTGGAATTCGATGAACCGTTGTTCGATGTCCAACTGAGCTATCCACAGCTGGTTTACGATCGGGTTTGATTGAGTTGATGTGCGGTTCCAGTGCGCCCGCTGAGCGTGGCTCTGCTGGGCACCAACAACCCGCTGTCCGTGGGGGTCACGTACCTGCTGACCTGTCAGAGCACCGGGTCACGACCTGCCGCTGTCATCACCTGGTGGCTGGGCGGCCGACAGCTGAAGAATGCACGCGAGGTACAGCACGATACCCGCCATCCAGCGCACGACGGATCCCACCGAACGAGCTTGCGAGCGGATCCACACCCCAGAGATAATAGGTGTTGCACTGTGTTCCCAGAAACGCTGCGACACTTGCATCGGGTTGTAACCTATACGTGCTGCGTTCAGTGCGTTTATCGCGGTCCCTGGCTAGGCTTCGCACGTCGGCTATATCCACTTCCCCTCCTGGTGACGAGCATCATGTGACATCGCGTCACTGCCCGTGTCACTTACCACATCGCGTCACTGCCCACTCGCCTGTGACATCGCGTCACTGCCCACGTCACTTACCACATCGCGTCACTGCCCACTCGCCTGTGACATCGCGTCACTGCCCATCGCCGTGACATCGCGTCACTGCCCACTCGCTTACCACATCGCGTCACTGCCCACTCGCCTGTGACATCGCGTCACTGCCCACTCGCCTGTGACATCGCGTCACTGCCCACTCGCTTACCACATCGCGTCACTGCCCATTCGCCTACCACACCGCGTCGCTGCCCACTCGCCTGTAACATCGCGTCACTACCCACTCGCCTGCCACATCACGTCACTGCCCACTCGCCTGTAACATCGCGGCACTACCCACTCGCCTGTGACATCGCGTCACTGCCCATCCGCCTGTAACATGGCGTCCAAACGTCCAGAACGCACCACAGCTGTCGCCCTTTTCGGCAGGAGATATCCAACGACGGCAACATGACCCGCTCGGTGCTCAGCCTGACGCCCGGTCTGGAGGAGGTCGGCCAGACGGTGCGCTGCCGCGCCGAAAACCACCAGCTGCGTCTGGCGCCGCTGGAGCGCGCCTGGCCGCTCACCATACATTGTAAGTCCCGGTCGGCCGACGGTCCCGCTGCTGGCCAGTCCGCCGGTCTTCTTTTGAAATTAAGTCCTAATGTTTTGTTAGATTTGAATGAATCAGAGCTAGTCTGTCTGTTTGTCTGCTTGTCTACCTGTGTGCCATTTTCTTTGACACACCACTGCCCGTCCGTCCGTCTGTGCGTCCGTTCTCTAGCCCCCTCCGGCCGGCCGTCCTTCCCTGTGTTAGTTTTCCAACGCTTGTCTGCTTGTCCGTCCATTTTGAGGCCCGGAGGCCCGTGAGGACGCGGGGCCGTGCGCTTCCGTCAGGCCACTGATGATGTACTTACCCTCTGAACGCCCCGTAATAGACCCATCAAAGTTTGTCGGTGGCCGCTCACAGAGCAAATGTCTGCGATGTAGGGCAGTGTTGCCGGCGGAAAACACCGTGGCGCCGTAAAGTGTTGCCGAAGCGAGGCTGTGTTCGCGGGCCGTGACGAACCGTGCGGACCTCAGGCCGGCGGAGCTGGGTCGTCCGGCGGTCGGTGATGAGTGAGAGCTCGGTCACGGTGGGTCGGACGCGCCGCATGACGGCTCTGAGGCCACGCTTCAGGCGCCAGACGTCTCAGTACGAGCGGGCATCGTCTGTATGGCTGCGACCTCTGACGTCTGACCTCTAGCTGGGTGTGACTTGAGGTCACGGGTCGGTAGAGTTGGGCACTGTGGGTGCCGATGTTACCAGGGAAAGGCTTCTCCGCTGAATCTTTCAAGGTGGATAAATAGCGTTCAGAGTTGGTGCTTGTATGTGTAAAAGAAATCGCGGCCTCAAGTTAAGCTTAAATCACAAAAACTTCGACTTATAGCAAGCGAACCGAGGTTTGCCAAGCATTTTTTGCCTGGCGCGCACGGAGTTTGCCAGGCCTCCAATGAAAGTAAGGTCTGGAATTATTGATCATGAAGAAAGTGATAGAAGACAACCACCACCATTTCGCATTTCAACTTCAGCCGTTTCTACTTCGTCAGAAGGACACTGCGCTCTATAGGCTACGGCAGTCGATGCTTTTAAAGTACCGCTTACAAGCCGTGCGCAGCAACACGGCAGGGCCATTTACAACACAAAAGGGATATAGACTTCAACACTATACACAACGATAGCGCAGTTACGGACGGTACGTCTTCGCACGTTAAGAACTAATGAGATCATAATGACGCCACTATATCGTTGCCGCAGACAAGCCGCGACCGACGCTGCGGCTGTGGTCGGCGCTGGAGGATCGTGGTATACGTCGCGGCGATGACGTGTACATGAAGTGTGACGTCAGAGCTGACCCACCCGTGACCAGCGTGCAGTGGCGCTTCCAGGTGAGTCTGGTGGGGGCAGCGACGGGGTTGCAGAGGTGGTGAGAGGTAGTGGGAGGAAACAGGGTGGTGACTAGCATACTGAGGCCCGGTGCCACTCGTGACAGGCTGAAAACGTGTGGGGAAAGAGAACGGAGTGGGAATACAGGGATTAAGAGGAACACGTATAGTGCTGCTTCCTCACGACGTATTGTTGGAGACATTTTTGGAGATATTTCTATTCTGCTGGCGATCCTGGCGGTGTAGCCATGCAAAAATGTTAAATATATCGTTTGAGTCTAGAGTTTTGGTTGAACGTATTGGACTTAAGGAAAAAGATCGAGGGGATATGGAGGAAATGAAAATGGGCATCACAACGAAAAATCATTTTGTTTTTAACGGCGACGTGAATGCAGCCCGTCTCGTCCAACCAACCCTGAACCTGCAGTGTCTCGCAAGGAGTCTCAGAATTGTCTCACCTTGTTCTGTCTTAGTGACCATGGTGACCCGGGGATCAATGGTGTTGATGGCAAAGCGGAGACATGACATGATCATCACACAATCAATGAGAGAGTGCAGTGATATTGAATCCGGAAGCACTGCTCACCTTTACTTATGCCACCAGCTTGTGTGAGACAGTACCGGTCCTGCTGGCGCCCACAGCTCCAAACAGTGAAGACTGAACATCCTCGTCATCAGAAGTTGCAATACCGTTTGTTTTTGTTTGCAGTCTCGCCCAGTTGACTCCTATCCGTTCCTGGCCTCGGACGTCACCAACGAAACGCTGATCTTGCGAGAGGTCACTGCCAGAGCGGCCGGCCAGTACAGCTGTGTAGCGGTCAACGCCGAGGGTGCCGCCGAGAGCAACCCCGTCACGCTGGACGTCCATGGTAGGTGCACCCTCCGCTGCCTCACGCCTGTGTTCCGATGGCCGCGCTGTGATTTGGGACTTGACAAATGGCGCTTCATTCATCACGTCCCCGCCATGGTATGCGCCATTATCGTCGGTCTGCGGCTTTCAGCCGAGCCCCCTATGCATGGGCTTTGAATTTTGCCCTCGGCGGCCCACAATGGCTGACTCGTCCGTGGTAAGGGGGAGGGGATTCGGCCGGCAGCCATGTAACCTTCATGGAGTCGAGCGGCCTGGTCTGAAGACGGTAAAAATGCGCCGGAAGTGTCCGCATGGTTTTTGCTAGTCGGCTCCCCGGAGGGTAAAATTGAGGCACGAAGCACTTGTGAATAATTGCGATAATTAACATCGAAGTGAGGAGCCTTGTTCGACGAAGCCTGACTCATGACAGTCTAAAAAGACGTACACGCTTATCATTATCGATACCTGCTTTTTATTCATGGGCGATGATAACACTTGCCATCATCTTGGCCATGGCAACGCATTAGAAGTTCGTAATTACGCGCTGATATGCAATGCAATGTTTGGCTCAAACATCAATAATAATTTGAAGTGTGTGGAAGTAGCTTCATACGCATCATATTAGTCATCATATCATCCCTTAATATATGTTTGCATACAATCCAACAATGCAATGCTCCCGGACGATTTTCCCCTCCACGATCAGCTGAAAGCAGCCTCTTTCCACAATCTATAGCGGGGCGCGCGTACTCATCATCAAGCGTAGAGCTCGCGTATTCACGTGTCGCCAAATTGCTCATCACGCCTATAATGCGAAAAGGAATGCGTTGCGATCTTGCTTCCACGTCATTAGGGAGAGCTGGTACAATAAAGGCGTTCGGCGACAGCAGCTTACCGGCGGCGCGCTGCTGATGGTGTACCACCGATAAGTCACCAGTGACGTCACATCACCAATGGTGCACCACCGATAAGTTACCAGTGACGTCACATCACTGATAGTGTACCACCGATAAGTCACCAGTGACGTCACATCACTGATGGTGCACACGCATTTACTGGGGGCTGGCGAATCGCCAGCGGCGCGTCTGACGGCGCTTCACAGTGCCGGACCGCTTCACGTGGCCACTGACGTGTATCACAGGCCACATTACGTGATCGCTGACGCGCACCGCGCACGGCGCTCCGCTGATCAAGTTTCGTGGATGCCACACCGCTGAGGACGCATCCCTGACGACGCACCGCTGATGACACACCACTGACGACTCACCGCTGATGACGCACCACTGACGACGCACCGCTGACGACGCACCTGCTGATGGCGCCGATAATTAGGTCTGGCCGATCTGATGGGGCGCACCTGCCCAAGCACATTAGCTGGCCGCAGGCTCGCGTTATAAATGACACGCGGCCACTAAATTACCGGGCCGGCGCCGGTCGCGCCTCCCATCCGCGAACGGCCGCGTCCTGTGGCTGGCAGAGCCCGCTGGCGGGCGCCCTCTGCCCTTCGGCGAGGTCCTCACACGTGTAGGAGAGCGTCTATGTGCCTTCGGCGCCTGGCTTGGCCATGCGCCCCGCCCTCAGTGGTGGGTGCGCGAGCTTTAATTCGAGCGCCTTTAGGATAGGTAACCGGTCTGCGTATCATTTCCTTAGCACCGTTATCTGACTCGGGGAAACTTAGCTGATCGAGTGAGAGACGAGCTTTCTCTTAGATATGAACTGTTTGCAGATATCTCGGTGTTGCGGAATAGCGCAGTTTCACCAAACTTGCCGGAATGGGCTTTAAGACTGAAACTTACACACGAACCTGGGCTTTCGGGAAATCGGAATTCAGTCCGGTAATAATAAGACGCTTTTGCATACGGAGCGTCTGCCGGCAGACGCCCCAGACTGGAGCGTGCCGGCATTGACCGGCGGGGCCGGCTCGCCCCGCTCCTGGGGAACGCCGGTCGGCCGGAGCCCACCGGCGCTCGGCGCACGCTCCAGATATGCAAATGTCGCCGGCGGCTCGGGGCCGGCTCCGTCGCCGCATGGCTCTCCATTTCGCAGTGCTATCTGGCTTCCGCTTCGCCGGCGGCCGGCCGGTTTAGCTGGCGAGTGATGATGAGTGGCGTCAGGAGACAAAGGCGCCGGGCTGCGAGGGCTGCAGGAGCTCGCCCAAACGCTGCAGGGCTGGGTTGGGTTTGGGAGGGAGTTAAAAGGCAGGTTACTGTAGCTTTATAGCGTGTTTCTGTCGCAAGAAGTTGTGCTGATGTCTGCTGTTTACGGTGTAAATATTGTTCTGCGTCACCAAACAAACGTGCATGACATAAAATATATATGTGCCCCACTTCGCCACCCATAATTCCACCCATATCTCTCACTCGCACGACGTATGACTCCATATCTCTCCGCTGGAAATGGCACGTTCCGCCGCACACCGAGCCCAAACGACCTCTGAGACCCCGGCGTCCATTTGGCCTGTTTTTGAGGCTATCTCTCAGCGCGCGCTCAGCCCCACCGGCCTCTGTTCCAGTGCTGCCGGAGTGCAGCGGCGAGCGGCCGGTCACCCTGCGCGCGGCCCGCGGGGAGACGCTGAATGTCACGTGTCGCGTCACGGCCAATCCGCGACCGTTCCGCTACACCTGGGCTCTGAACGCATCAGGTGAGTCCGCGCCGCCGACCTTTGAAGGGCAACCTCCCCCCCCCCACCTCGCGCAGACCCGCGCTTGCCGGCTGCCTCGTGCGGCCGGCGGTGGAGCAGTCGAAGAGAATGGCGATCGACTCGACTCGCCAGTGCAGGCCAACTTGGCACCGTGCTCGTGGAACATTGAAAGAACTTAGGTTGATAAATATTACAACTTTGCACGACTACATCACCTTTGTGTGAGGTATTAACACGCGCCCGGGCGGTCGGTTGGATACCCTTCGCTCGGGTGGGGGGTGGGGAAGTTAATTCAACCCCCCTGAGATCTCAGGAACTAAGTAGGCTAGAAACACCAAATTCACAAAATGGGATGGCATGTATGGAAACTCACTTAGGTTAAAGCTTGGGGCTCCTAGGTAAAAAAGGTCATAGTTGGCCTTTTTTAACAAGATGCCGTTGATATATTCTTTACTTGCCAACATGAATGCATGGCTTTTAATGTTAATTCATAAAAATGGCCCAGCGATCCATTTCTTTTTTAAGGGGCACGTGTTTCCGACTCTTCCTCCCCCTCAGCACGTTGCTGATACGTGCTGCCCATGTGATGGTCCATACAGCTGGTTATTGGTATAAGTTGTGTTGTAGGTTTTGGTTCCAAAACAACGATTTTGGGTCCTCTCGGAACTCTAAACTCAATACTTTCCTACCGCGGGGAAATGCGCCACAGTGGTTCCTGGTAGGGTCTCGGAGATCGTGTGTGGATCGGCATGTATCTTTTAAAAGCTTTGCGCAACGGTTTAGTTTTGTTTAGTCACAGGCCTGAGTCACCAGACAATTATTAAAATCCATTGACCTTAGGCCCGTGTTTAAGCTCTAACATTGAGGGGGATCGATTCACCTCAAGCTTATGGGCGTTATTTCACCATTGTGTTCGCTTTGATTGAGAGCATAACAACTGCGTAAGTTTGTAATGTAATTTAAAATCTTGTATAGACTGATACAAAAATATATGTATCGGTCAACTCCCTGTGAATTTTCGAATGCTTGATTACCCTGGAAAGGAGCTTTGGCTGGAATATGTATGTGTATATATGTATATGTATATATATGTAATCTACATACGTAAGTTCACGTTGATGGCGGCAATATTTTTAGGGGAAACAGCATGCAGGTAGCGAGAACCAGTGGATAAGTGCATTACGTTTGGTATATACGAAATTGATGTTGGTACACGAAACGAAATAATTTATGAGCTAGACCAGCACGATATGGTTACAAGGTTGGACGAGCGTCTTGGTGCTTGAAGAAATGGAGTGGGATCCTACATTCGGTCACCAATTTCACGACAAAAACGTTTTCGGCGTTGTCTTTTGCGAAAGATGAATATCACAATTTCCATTGGATTTAAAGAGCTAGGGTTGTTTGCGATCCAATCCTCACTAAAGAGTACCGTTAGAAATGAATAGCAAACATGTCTGGGATCATAACAAGAGATGCCATCAGGATTGTGCAATCCTGAAATCCAATCCCTTCCATCCCTCTGATTGTGACTCATGAAGGCCTTTGCAGAGCAATTTGATAAAATGCGCTTCGATGTCGCTCGGTGCTGCGATAGTGCGCTCTCCTAGCTGCGCTGTCCTTCCTGATACTAATTTACACTGTCTCTTTTATTTCCCTACGCCACACATTGTCCGCTTCTGCTGTGGCGCTTACGTACGTTCTGAAATATCACACCCGTCAACTTTGATCCAGGATTTCCTATCTCCCCATCTCCGCCGGTTTTCGTTTGCGAGCGTGGTTCTGTCCCCGTGCGTTCCTCATGTTCCCCTCGCTCCGACGCCGGACGACAGTAGTTGGGCAGCTGGCTTGCGCACCTGGTGGCCTAGTGATGGGGGCTTCCGCCCTGGGGCGCATTTTTCCGGCATCACCGGGGTCAATGGCCGCTGCCGTCCTGGCCCCTGGCCATTGAACTATATTTCAGTTGTGTGCCCCACATTTGCGCTCCGTTGTGCCGCGGGGAGCCTGCAGCCCCGCTTGACCTCGAACCGACGGCAGCGGTGATGCTCGGGGTCGGGTCGAGAGGAGAGGGAGGGGGGGGGGGGCACGACACTGGAATCCGCTGCAAAAGTGACGAAGGGAGTGCGTTCTGCTGCGCACATGGGCCTGCGGTTGAGTTTGCGGGGCGCAGGGGACGGGATTGTGCGTCATGAAGAAACATTCGCTGAACTGGATGCTGAAAGCAGATTCCTAGTCATGTATTGTGCGTGAAATGCAGTGTTCTTTTGGACTGTTTCGGAGGCTGCTTGTCGGGTGATTGCCAAGACGTGACATATGATTGCGGTAGATGGGCTCCCGTGCAGATAAACTTTGCACGTCTGCAAACCTGCAGTGTGACTCAGTAATTTTTGTGGCGTTTTTTTCGGCGCGTCTGCACGTTAGTACGCCTGGTGGTTCCCATAACTTCGAGCATGAGCTCAGCACAGTTCTTACTCCAATGGAGCTATGCTTGTTGCACAAATGCACCCCGTTAAGGTATCCGTATGACGTTTATGAGTAATAAAACTCTTAACTTGTGACTAAAGAATTCCTCTTAGGTGTGCGATTAGTAACGAATGGATCGTAAAGCACCAGTGACAAACAAAGCTTTCCGAATTTGCACCTGCATCACGTTTACTTTAAGGTTTGTTACCGCTCTTTTTATGGATGATTCGGTGCAGTGGTACCGGAACTGTGTTTGTTTACTGATAGTTGTAAGAACAGGTAGAATGCAAGTAGTAAAATTCGAAGCCGAATGGCATGCAAAATTCGAAGTAGAAGAACTTGTATTCAGTTGTCAATTTATCGATTGCTGCAGTTCCCCGCAGAGATTCCATAGTAGTTCGAGCCCTAAAATACACCGTAATTTTCACTCGTCTGCATACCTCTGTTGTTGGCGAGCCACGGACGTCCAGCTTTGGGCCGTTGGTCAGTTGTGCTGTTTATTCTGTTTGTGGCCTGAAACGTTGACACGGTTCTAGAGGCATGGCGACGTGCAAACAGACCAGCGAAAAGGACCGGAAGACTTATACGATCTGTCTATCGCGCGAGGTTATAGCGCTTGTATTTCTTTTTCCGTAGTTGGCGGCAACATCCAGATCCCACTGCATCGGTCCCTTGTGCGGCCCTCCCCAAAGCTTGGATTGTTCAGTCGCCATATCTTGGCTGCTGTGCGTTGTAGTCAGTAGTCAGTCAGTAGTCAGTCAGTCAACATTGTAGTCGGTATCAACAGTGTTATTCATTTTAAAACCGGGCCGCCATTAAGGCATCGTTGCGGCGCGGCACACCCTAGCTGGCTGCGGAAGTTGCGCTGTTTCTTTACTGCATTACTTCTAAGATCTGCCTCTGCTAGGGATGTGAACGTGCTGCATAGCTATGAACGCGACTATAACGCATGAACAAGGTAACAGCCCGGGGTTGTATTGATGTCCGCGCATTGGTGAATATTTGACGTCAGTGGCCCGGCCAGAGAGGTTTCTAACATAGTGATTCATCTGCAAATATTGGTTGCTATGGCATTGCCACACAGCTCTTGAACAGGAGCGCAGTTCTTGAACGGTGTGCTGTGATATTGTGAAGCTATTTGCACGTTCCCTGTTTCATCAGCATTGGTCTAATCAGCTTTTTGAATATTGGGGGTGATGCATGCTTACACTTTTTCATGATCATTTCGGGCGTCGACTGTTGGAATCCTCGATGAAGCTTACTCTTCAAGAATTGATTTCCAATGTCCGTATTTTGTGCGGTGGGATTTAATTTCACCGCTGCACCGTTCCACCCACATGTCAACCTTATCCCGTGACACTGGCGAGCAAGATTAGATGTGACACCAATTCCCTGGGCTATTCGCTGCGTTGGCAGGCGCAGATAGGCACACACGGGCGCAGAAAGCTGCAGACAGACGTATGGTCCAACGTCTGAAAGAAGATCTCGGATATCCATAATCCGATTGCGGATCGGTGGAGGCAGTTTTTGTGCTTGGACATGACGGGGCGGATGGAAACTGGCTGTCCCCTGCATTAACCGTTTTTGCCGCCCAGGCATCAAACTCGAAGCCAGATGATGACAACGAGTTGTCCAAAGAGCAGTCACTTCGGGGAAGCGTTTTTGTTCCTGTCGTAAGAAGGAAAGGTTCTAAGCTTTATTGGAACACATTTTAGGCAATCTCTCCCCCCCATCAGTCCGCAATTTTGGTGGTGTTTTCAGTATCATGTGATTAAACGGGCGAACGTCATAGTGGTCGCCGTTGAAGAAAAATAACTGAGTATAAGTACCAAATGGGTCAGTACCAAATGGGGCTTGCTTCGCGCTTTTTCTAAGGTTTCAGACCTCCGCCCGGAATCGTGAGGAAGGTGCGGCCATCTTGATCAAACTCGGCGCAGAGCCCTAGAAACCCTTTTTAATCCGCGTTGGGATCGATGATTTCTGGAAAGCCATTGCACCAAATACCCCAAGCCTTGCAGCCGTGAGTGTCGTTATCGCGCGAGCCGACTGCACGTGTGGGATACCCCTCCCCTCCCTCCCCCGCGTCACTGGACCGGGACCGGCCGAGCGCTGGCCCACGCACGGCCCCAGCAAGCGGAGTCGATTCAGTCGTACCTCGTGTGGGATACCATGCCCCCCCCCCCCTCCCTCCCCCGTGTCACTGGACCGGGACCGGCCGAGCGCTGGCCCGTGCACAGCCCAATAGTTCGACGTGGGTGACCTCCTCCCATGTCTTGCCGTATTGTCACGGCGCCTGGCGGCACATCGCCGACTTCCGCGGCAATGACTGCGGCGGGTTACATCAGCTTACTCTTGCTATACCACACACCTCAGATCCTTTCCTTGCCACTCACCATTTCGGTGGTTACCCCGGCCACGGCAGGGATGCCCCAGCTTCTTGGCTGCAGCGTGATGAACCTCGGCCTGTTTGGGGCCTCGCCGCCCTGAGGCGCCACCTCCGGTGGAAATCCTCTGCAGGCTCCTGTGTGCTGTATGTCCACCCTTTTCTTTGCTGGCTTCCTCCTGCTGACTTCTTGCTCCAGCCTCCACCACCTTGCGTACCTCTATATTTCTCTGCCGCTTTCTTGCATACCTCATCGATTTGTGCGCGGCAAGCCAGTGAACACTTGTATTCGACTTTGTTAAGTTACTGAAGTCATAATCACCTTTCTCCCTTACCCTCGGTTTTTCTCACATAATCTTCAGCGAATCACACTGGCAAAGGTTTTATTTGCAGTGTTCTTATGTGAGCACCGCAGCTTTCACGCACGGTGATGTCAAAATGACGTCACATACAACGTCTAATGTGGGTCCCAAATTTGGAGGCTATTCGTCGCTTCGGCATTGCTTGATATGCAAAAAATATCAAATGACGAAAACTGTAAAAATGCCCCCCGTAACCCACTGCGGTGAGGTACTCAAATTCACGCGGGGTTAAACACATCACCCCTGGTTGCTCGTGCTTCCCCTCTTTCTGCCCCCCCCCCCCCCCCCCCTGAACTTCCCGACTCCTTTGCCTCACTGCGATTTTTATTGACTCTCCCTTTTTACCTTGTACCCTCTGACTCCACCGCTCTCTGCGAGTCTCCCTGACTGTGTCGTTTCCCCCCGACCCCCGCGCCTCCTCACGTGCCTCTGACCTGACCTGACCTGACCCGTCACCAGGAGCCGTGTCGGACGTGCCCGAGGGTCGGGTCAGCAGCGCCGGCCTGACCAGCGTAGTTAGCTTCACGCCGCGCTCCCAGCTGGACTTCGGCACCCTGCTCTGCTGGGCCGACAACCGACTGGGCCGTCAGCGACAGCCCTGCCGCTTCACCGTCATCATGGCAGGTGCGACTCACGGGTGCTCTGCTGCTGCCAGAGCAGTGACCGCTCTGTGAGGTGCCGCAGTACCTTCAGCGAACAGGTACAAGCCCGTGAACGGTCGACGAAATGGGGCAAAGGGTTCCGCGCGTGGATGACATCGTGGGATATGACAGTCGTGGCTCCTGTGGGGCCCATCCGCGGTATTGTGGGATATGACAGTCGTGGCTCCTGCGGGAGCCCATCCACGGTATTGTGGGATATGACAGTCATGGCTCCAGCGAGAGCTCATCTGCGGTATTGTGGGATATGACAGTCATGGCTCCCGCAGGAGCCCATCCGCGGTATTGTGGGATATGACAGTCGTGGCTCCTGCGGGAGCCCATCCGCGGTATTGCGGGATACGACAGTCATGGTTGCTCCTGCGGGAGCCCATCCGCGGTATTGTGAGACATGACAGTCATGGCTCCTGCGGGAGCCCATCCGCGGTATTGTGAGATATGACAGTCATGGCTCCTGCGGGAGCCCATCCGCGGTGCGACGCCGGTGTCTAGACAGGGTTCCGGGAACTTGGGAAGGGGGGATGGAGGGTAGGGGTCGGTGGAAGTTCAATGCGACGGTGGCCGTTCTGCGATGTTTGTCATGGGTCGTCTCGGGAAATACGAGCCCGTCTCGATTTACAGGCCCAATGCATCATCGACGCCGATACTGATAGCCGCGATGCGGCTGTCCCATCTCTACATTATTTATATAAATGGACCTAATGCTCTCCAGCTCATCATCTGTGTCATAGACCATGTGCGGGAAGTGTTCATGTTCTTTGAATCCTGCTGAAGCAAATCCAGGCACCTTTCTTAATCCCTCCCAAAAGTTGATCTTTCTGTCCTGCTTAGCCGTCGTTGTCCTACCCCTTCTTGTTCGTCTTTGAGATTCACTCAGTTTGAACGGTCGCACCTGCACCTCTGTGACCTTCGCTGGTCCGGTCGCAGTCCCTCCCTGGATTCACCACTGGATGCTCCCCTGCCCCCACCCTGGATCTTGCCCCTGGCTACGCCCCTGTCCCCACTCCTGATCTTGCCCCTGGCTACGCCCCTGAGCCCCGGCGCTGACTTGCCGGTGTGCGCCGCAGAGAAGCCGGGCCCGCTGCACAATTGTTCGGTGCTGAACCTGACCGCCAACGGGCTGGAAGCCGTGTGTCGGCCCGGCTTCCACGGTGGCCTCCAGCAGCGGTTCGCACTGCTGGTGCGCGACGCCACCACGCAGGAGCTGGTGGCCAACCGCAGCTCCGCCCTGCCCAGGTCAGTGGGGCGCCGTCGGCGCGCCGGGGCGGTCCGTGCTGGCAGATTCACGCAGTGCTGCTGGGGGTGGGACTTAGCGCAGGTCAGCAGCGATGGTGGCGCGAGGGCCGTTCCCCACCGTCCGCCATTTGGTCGGCGCTGCGGGTGGGTCAGTCTCGTTGTCAGCGGTACCGGGTTGCGCAAACTGGGCTCTCAGAGTAGTGCTGCTGGTTTAAAGCCACCTCGGTTAATGGCAGTAGTTCAGTTGATCCGGTCCCGCTCCGACCCTTAGTGCCGATGTCTTCTCAGCCGTAACGCCCAGGCGAAGCAAGTCGGCAAGGGGCCTCAGTCAGCAATGTCGCCATCTCCCACCCGCGCCGTGCAGTGCATTGGGAGACCCAGCCGAAGCCACACAGACCGAGCGCGCAATTATCCCGCCGGGGCCGGTGCGCCTCGCCGTATTCCAATCAGGCGACGGGCCCATTTAGCGTCCGTACCCGGCCGGGTCAGCAGCCGGCGCCGCGCCGACGCTCGTGAGAGCGGCGCCCGTCGCCGCGAATCGGCCGGCCGACAGTGATGTAGAGCGCTCTCCGGCGGCCGCCGCCTGATCCCGCCAACAAAAACGCGGCTCAGCGGACATGAGCCGGACGGGCGGCCACCCAGCGGCGGCCGACGCGCCGGCGGACGGCGCCGGACGGCAGCCTGACGGCAGTCAGGACGTCCTCAGGCGGATCGGTGGCATCTCACGGCTTCCTGACGTCGGTTGTTGAAGTATCCTGACGCAGAATTCCGTCAGATGTCGGCCTCCTGGTGTCTTCTGTCCAGACGTGCTGACACAAGGGGTGGCACGTCGCTGGTCTCGTGACGTTCCGTGCTAAAGCCTTCTGATGCCGGTCTCCGCATGCTGGAAGCAGTGACGTAGAGAAGAGGGGGAGATGCTTTACACTTTCATCCCGCATTTAAATCGTCCGTAGGACTTCTAAAACATAGCAAACGGATCACTCGGGCATTAAAATGCGACTCCAAGCCTGCCCACCTGAGACCTGTTTGTCTCTCCCCAGGACGAAATTCTGACCATTCCACGGGGTGGCGCCCGCAGAGGTCGTAGTTCATCACTTTCTTTTCGTCCGTGACAACCTCAGAGGATGCGGCCCAGTCGGGGAGCACACAAACACACTGCTCTGGATGGCACAGTTTGCCCCATCACTCCACAGGTTCTACGTCAGTGATCTGCAGGAAGGACGCAACTACACCGTCACCCTCTACGCTTACAACGACCGCGGTCGCAGCCGGGTCCACCGGCTGGCGGTGACCACTCTGGCCGCGGCGGCAGAGACCGGCGAGATGAGTGAGTGCAGCGGTTCGCCGTCCCCACAGATCACCCTCTGGCCAGGTCGGCGCGGGGTGGCGTCATGTCGTATGCGCAGCCTGGTTGTTCGCGTGCGCTGTGCTCTAGGCTGAATCGTTCAGGATTTTACACCTAATGAGCTTTGTGTTATATGATTTATTTGGGAACGAAATCCACCATTACAGCGGGTAGGAAGCATATATGGACGACGTCTTCTGTCTTGCAGTGGCGCAGGGTAATGAAGCACGACTGGCCATGTCTCCGCACCACATCATGTAATCGCATACAGCCAAATCACCGCCGGGATCGATACCGCGCTCGCCCGGCCGTGAACACACAATGCATTACCGCAGCGTGGCGTCCCTAATGAACGGTGCGCCGCTCATCATTCCGCCATCACGGGCGCCCCGCGGTGACGTCACCGCACGCTGTGACGTCACGCGCCGCTGTGTGACGTCACGCAGGGTCGCTGGGCTCGCTGTTCCGGATGACGCCGATCCTGGGCATTCTGATCGGCATCGTGGGCACGCTGGTGCTGCTGGCCATCTCGATCGTGGTCACGATGCGCCTCCGCGGCCACAACGACGCCAAGGAGGGCTTCCCGGCGCCGGCGCCGCAGGAGAAGGCGGCGCCCGGCTCGGCGGCCGACATCGCGGCAAACCCGGACCTGCTCCGCGTCAAGATCGGTACGGCGCGCGCGGCGGGTGGCGCGCCGGCGTCCTCCGGCAGGGGTGTGGGATGGGGTCCAGTCCCGCCCCACTATGGCGTGAACGGCTGCCCTGAACCTCTCTCCTGTAAGATATGACGTGACTTGTGATATGCGTGTCTTATTCGAAGGCACATTTAACGGGTGATTTTGGATCACATACTTAAACAAAGCTGTCATAGGCATCACGCTGCCTGGGTGTTCTTCCGAAGGTTATTTTGTAATGTTCTATCGGGCATAGATAAATTTAGCAATTGATTGTCTACCCGGCCCATAATTTCTGCGTTGGCGAACATTGTGGCTACGAAAACAAAGACTAGTGGTACCAGATATTACCAGTAAAGCAGCGGGCAGTCGATTTCGGAAGAGAACATCGATGCCTCGCGCTTCGACCTGTCAATAATTGAGCACGTGTGGAAACTTCTGCAGCCTACGTGCGCTATCCGCCTCGTGCCCGAGTTCGTTAGCGAGTATAATGTTTGAACCAGCCGAACTCCCATCCATTGAACCGAACGTCCGTCTGTCGGCCTCAGCCTTAGCAGCGTTTAATTGGCAAGGGGCGAACGGTGCTGACCTTATCGCGTGTCCCGGCAGACGACATTGACGACCCCGAGGAGCGGTACATGGCGGAGCGACTCATTAACGGGCCGCCACGCGACCTGCCGCGCAAGTTCAGCTCTCGCTCGCCGCCGCCCAACTCCTACTCCAGCCTCGGGCGCGGCGAGTACACGCGGGTGCCCTCGCCGAAAATGGTGGGTCACCAGCTGGCGAGGTGTTGGTCACTAGCTGGTCTCTTCGCTCGCTCTCTTTCGTGTGTTCATGTGGCTCTGGCTCTTTCGGTCCTTCCTCCGTGTGTGTGTGTGTGTGTGTGTGTGTGTGTGTGTGTGTGTGTGTGTGTGTGTGTGTGTGTGTGTGTGTGTGTGTGTGTGTGTGTGTGTGTGTGTGTGTGTGTATGTGTGTGCCTCTCTGTCTGTCTGTCTGTCTGTCTGTCTGTCTGTCTGTCTGTCTGTCTGTCTGTCTGTCTGTCTGTCTGTCTGTCTGTCTGTCTGTCTGTCTGTCTGTCTGTCTGTCTGTCTGTCTGTCTGTCTGTCTGTCTGTCTGTCTGTCTCTCTCTCTCTCTCTCTCTCTCTCTCTCTCTCTCTCTCTCTCTCTCTCTCTCTCTCTCTCTCTCTCTCTCTCTCTCTCTCTCTCTCTCTCTCTCTCTCTCTCTCTCTCTCTCTCTCTCTCTCTCTCTCTCTTTTTACTCGCACTTTGCACCCGCCCTCTCATTGCCACCGTTCAGCTTCTGTCATCTCTTTCAATGTGCAAATTGTCACTCCTCTATTTCCCTCTATTTCTTTATCTGACCCGATCGTCTTCCACAACGAACCAAACTTCCAAGACCACCGAAAACGCAGGCCCGGGTATATAACTTATCAGGAAGTGCTTGAAGTAAAACCGAACGAGCGGTCGGCTTAGCGGCGCGCCGAAATGCGGCGTTTCCGCCGGCCATTGTGCGCCGATATTTGTCTCCATCTGGCCGAGCGGAATGGCTTCTGCCGCCTGTTGCCCATACGTCTTCAGAATGCCTGTTTACGAGATGGGTGGCGAGTTTGATGGCGGCCCGATAAGTTCAGACAAGCTCAGGATAACTTTGGCGAACTTTTCACGCGCCGACAGTGGGGCGCTCGCTGCTCGCATCCGTCACTGCACAGAGACAGCGAGCGGTGTGAGGCCCTCTGCCGACACGCTGCGGGGGGGGGGGGGGGGTGAAAGATCTGCCGCTCGTTGTCGCTTCCGGGTCTGCGGTTTGTGGCTTTCGAGAAGTTTGGACGAACGGCAGTGACTTCTGTGCCGCTGGGACTGCTCACTCGCCACCATAAGTCGCCGCCATAGCTTACTTCTCCAGAAATATGGGGTCGGGTTTCCGTTTTGCGATTGTTCTCATCTGTCCACGAGATGGTAGCTGTTGTACTAAGGCCGCACTATGGTCCACTGACACAACTTTGTGGACAAAGGCCAGGTCAACCCGGGCCAGGTCAGCGAGTGGTGTGAGTGGAGTGAGTTGTGAGAGCGCTCCACTGCGTTTTGGAGCGCCGGGTCAGCCAATCTGCGCCAAAACGCCCACACCTGTAGGGCTAAGATCTGGGCACAGGCCATGCCAGTTTGGGGCGTGACGTTTCTTTGCTGGTCCTCAGCCGGTGTACCAGGGGCCGTACTTCAGTCTGCCCCGCGAGCCAGGCCAGCGGTCCTGCAGCAGCGAGGCGTCCGAGGGGCGCTATGACGTCACTCACTCCGACTCCTCCACCCTGGAGGAGGCCGCTCCGCTCATGGCCGCCTCCGACCGGCGCGAGAGCGTCGTGTGATGACGTCAAAGTAACGCCATGCGTGTTCCGGTCTTCAGTGCCGTGTTGCGGTGGCACAAGTGGTGACGACGCACGTGGTTCCAGTCCAGACTCAGCTCTGTCGCTAACTGTGGGACAAATTCCCTCCCCGCTGGTACGTACCAGACCAGTGTCGCGGTGCAGTCGCGTCAAAGTGACGTCAGAACACGGAGCCGAAGAGACGGACATCCCGCTTGTCGGAAGTCGTCCCGTGAAATGACGCCTGCTTCCGTCGGACGAGGCTCTCGCTGAATGTGAACCGTCGAGTGGTGCTGCGATGCTCCGATAATCCGACGTCCCGTCACTTCCTTCAGCTGCCGGCGGGCAGGCGACGGTGACCACGTGACATTGGACTGATAATGTGCCGCGGCAGCGCGTGGCAGCCTGTCACACCGTGCTGACATCTCCGGTCCCGGAGATCGGCAGGATGGGTCACCGTAACCTTATGCCTTCACCACGGGAGGGTGTGTTGGCACGGCGCTGTACAGTTACATGTACTGCTGTGGACGCTCGTTGGCCTTGGAAAACCCATGGTGGATGTATTATGTCCCGTACCTTTTTTGTGTCGGAAGGCGCTAGCCAGAGATGTCAGAGTAGGTGGATAATGCTAGCTGTTTACTCGTCGTTATTAGTCTACAGCTTCCCGATGGCATTGCCTACCTATCAAGTACGTTTTGTCTGGTATGTGTCGTGCGATGAGTCTCGGTGAGGCGCATGTTTTTGAGGCGGCAATGTACCACGTCCTATGTCTACCTGGCGCAAATGGATCGACGTACCCGCGTATCGTGAGTGTTAATCTGCCTGAATGATGTCTGCGATAACCATGATGTTGCGTACGTTAGATCTCTTTTACCGCAATGATATTGCCTTTGCATACCTTATCGCCGCCGACTATGTGGCCGCCGCTGCCTTTGTAGCAATGCGGCCAGCTACTGAAGCGCGCATCTTCCCGAGCTGATGAGCTGGCGTGTTTCCCCATTCTTCCGGGCTGCTCCATCGCGCATGCGCCGTGCCGTCCGATATAGCGCCGCAGGCGGCGACCTGTTGTATAACCCGTGCGCCCCCTCTCGACGGGCGGCGCTGCGGATAGCTCGACCTTCATGGAAGGTCGCCAGAGCCTGCCGCCCAAGCTGCACCCGGACGCCAGCGCGTGCCATTCGCCAATGTCTGTGATATTAACACGCGTCGTGCGGCTCGCTTCGTCCGCGCCGTGCATGTGCTTCGACGCCACTAACCCGCGAGGAATAAATACTCGGCCGGTGCCAGCTGTTGGGCCTGCGAAAGGCAGCATCTTCCCGCCGTCGGGCTATCTCCCGGCAGGATCGAGCTGGCGGGACATTTACAGCGCCGGCGAGCGCCATCAATGCGTAATGCCGACAATTAATTTGGCTGCAGGTCTGACGACCACCCAGGGTGAGGTAACGCCGAAAACAGGCGCATGCATCACGCCCTGGTGCGTCGGGCGATTGTGGGCCGGCTGCCGGCGGCGCCGGCCGGAAAACGAGCGGGGCCACGCCGCCGCCGCCGCCCGTGCAGCGGACCAAACCTGGTCCCGGGGACCAGAGGGTCCGACGCTGGCGCTGAGGTCTGGTCCTTGGCATCGCGCGGGGGCTGGATATGAGAGGTCTAAGGCGGTCTGAGGACGGGGAGGGGGGGGGGGGCGTTTCTTGGCTCCGGTCTCTAAAGCCGACTTGGTTCGAATGTTGACGGGCTTGCTGGAGATTGGAGGACCGAATTCGCGCAATTCGCCTCTTCCTGCCATTACAGGAACATTCTCCTTCCTCCACCACCGCAGGAATTCCGTGGCAGGTGCGGTCGCGCCACAGCGGCGTTTGTGGCGCACCTGACTGACCGGCCCGCTATCCGCCACGTGATCGGCGGCAAAAAGCGGCGCGGCTCGGCGGTAGTCGGCGCGGCTTGTTAATGCCGTCCCCGCGCCGCGTCCGTATCGCGCGATCGGTTCCAGTTCCAACGCACCGTCATTAGACCGAATAAATCGCGACAAAAACGAGGCTCGGCCAGCGCTCGAGCGCGACGCGGACCGGGTCTGCCGCGGGCGGCGCGGCGGCGTGGCAGAGAGCCGCGGCCTCTGAAGCCTCAGGTGCAACACGCGGCGAGCAGCGGCGGGCAGGGGCTCACACGGGCTGGACGGGAGCGCCTCCAGCGGGGTCCTCACTGAAACGTGCCCGGCCTTCTCAACATGGGTGCTGCGTGCTCCGGCGAGCAAGCAAGGAACAAGCAAACAACTTACATAGTTCGAAAAAGCGGACAGCTTTACGACCACCCATCGAGAGATTGCTTACGATAGGATCAGTTTCAGATCAATACGACTGGTCAGAACTTTGATTTGTTATCACTGTACGACTTCGGACAAGTTCCAACCAGTTTGTAATCTCCATACGTCACGAGGCGTATACCATGCGTGAACTGCTCGCGTGGCATGGTGTAAACCACAGTGTTATACTTAATTCAGATAACTTACAAGGAGAGCAATGCTCGCGTCACAAGGTCATCGATGGATGTTTCGAACAAGACTCTAGCCAAAATATACGCAGGTCATCCCTGCAGGCGTTACTGCAAAAGAAGACGTACAGATTAGTGTCTAATCGCCCCAATTACGTCTGCGAGAAAATGAACAACGCACAGGTGTCGCGGCGACGCTATCTGGATCGAGCGAGTGTGCCAGTGAATCAGACCTAATTAGCTTAACTGGCAGTCATCAATTTACTGTCCTAGTGCAAATAACTGAGATCACTTTACCACCGGGTAGTTTTGTTCGTGCTGCCACTTGTACAGTTCCTCCCGGCGCTAAAGCTTCTGCCCTCGATTCCGCAGCAGCGTGCTCTCAAACCCAGTATGCCGCTGAACTCGAGCCGTATCTTCCACTCGATCCACCTGAGCTGTCAACAGGCGCGGGCGTAAACCACGTGCGGGCCGCTCGCGCACCGCATACCGATTAGGCCCCGCAGCGCGGCCGCTCTGCCGCGTAGCCGCAGCCACTGCCACAACCAAACCCGAGACCGCAGCTCGGCGCCGAGACCATGGGAACAAGCGGCCAGTCCCCTCCTCGCTCGCTCGCGCGTTCGCACCTCCCGCGCGGCAGCTTGCAGGGCGTTACGAGGGGAGTGTCGTCGCTGGCTAGGCTGCGCTCGCGCCGCCGCCGCCGGCGAGTGGGCCAGAGCGGGCGCCGACAGTCCGCCGGCGTCTCAATTACTGGCCGGCCGGCGGGCAGCGCGCGGACCCGGGGCGCCGCTAACGAATTCATGGCGCCCTGTTTACCAGGCGCGCACAATGCCGCCGCCGCGGCCTATTATGCGCGGCCGAGTGACGCCATTCAGAGGCGGCGGCAGCGGGGGCGGCAGCTGCCCGGCATGACCCCCGCTGCCTCCCCCGGCTATCCGGGGGGGGGGGGGGGGTATAACAGATGGACCGACGTGACCCTGCACTGAACGACGACGGCTGCCGGCGCCTCCGGCGGCCCACCAGCACCGATGTGCGTGGGCGGGTGGGAGGACAGATACAGAGGCGGGGGCATTAGGGATTGACGTCCCGTCCGCTTTAATCAGCCTTCATTTCGAGGAACATCAAACGTCATTTCTCCATAAAAGAGGACGCATCCGTCGCACGCAGAGCTGTCACACACCAAAGGATTGCGTCAGTAAATGCATTCCCCTCCTTCCGGCGCCTTGGGTAAAGTGCAGAAACTTGATCATTCTCAGTTCTCGGGACGATCGATCTCATGGGCATAACTTAGTCCGGACATAACTCCCCAGGTGAATCTCGGGGGGTAGCGAGCGGAATTTCTGGCGCCTGCCGAGCGGCAGCCCACCGGACGCGCTCTCCCGCCCACGTGCCGGGCGGAGGCGGGCGGGCTCTTCCTCTCAGCTTTTCGCCGCCGTCCTGGCCTCGCGCCGCGCCGGAAACGCCGGCGGCCCAGGTGCGGCTCCGGTCCCGGCGGCCGCCATAAATCTGCCGGCACATTCAGCGTCGCGACTGGCGGAGCGTCATTCAGAGGACGGGGAGGCCACCTCTGGTCCGGTCCGGTCCGGCCCGGTCCGGTCCGGTCCGGTCCGGTCCGGTCCGGTTCGGTCCTGTCCCGCGGCAGGCCTCCCCTGCCCCGGCGCGGTCGGCCGCCCTGCCAACCTGTTATGGTCAATTACGTGGCGGGCAGGCCGGAGGGAGGCGCTCGATCCAATAGAAAACGATAACTCGCTGGAAACGAACCGCCGCCGGCCGTTAAGGAGGGATCTCGTCGGAGAGGCTGCGATAGCCGGCCCTTGGGCCTGAGAGCCGGCCCCGGCCGGAGCACCTGCTTCTACTGCGTCTCAAACAGGGCAGGGTGCAGCGGAGATGATGAGAGGTGAGAGCGGTCCTCCGATATATGGCCATCTGCAGAGGGGCGGGGTTCCGCTGGAGGCACGCGCCGAAGGCACCAGGCATTTGTTTTCGTCTGGTCGTCTTTTGTCTGGCAGCACATTAATCTCAAGAAGTTATGTCCGCACATACATTCGGTCTGTTCCCGAGGGCACTTTGGATTATTTCCACCTCGCTGGTGGCAGGCACCCATACATTTATTGCGGTTCCATGAAACTCTTTCGTGAACCCATTGCACCGCTTCGTCATCTCAATGAAGACGTGACAGATTATAACCTAATGCAAGATTAAGCTGATGCTATTATCTCAATAAGAATTTAATTTCAGGTCACCTACCTTGCTCTGCAATTATTCGGCCAAATTGGTCAGAAGCTTTGTTCCAAATGGATTGCAGGGGACCCTTGTTCCATTTTCGGCCGCCACCACAGGTCTGAGCTCTGTTGCTTTTGTTTTCCTCGGTACCACGTAAAAGTATATCACGGAGCCACGCACCACACTCCCTTAAAACTTGCAAGTGTCTTTCCATTACGGAACAGGGCATCACAATTAAGGTTGTCGGCGAAGCATCGCGGTATTCTACAAAGTTCTTATTCCTCCTACAAGGAAGTCAACAGAAAAGAAGTTTCGAATAATATGCATGTAAGCCAATATTTCGTGCACAGCACATTGTCGAGAAGAAGCATGAATTTCAGTCATATGTCTTATTTTTCAGAACCGAATTTATCTATTTCTCGCATTCACGATATGCTGTAGAGAAAATATCGCCATATAAAGATCTCCTTTGAAATATTCTGTTTTGCTTACTTCGAGGGAAGGACGCACGCTGTAAATTTTCTTCGCAATAACGCGAAGACAAGTGCCTATTGTTGATTAAGCGTTTTGTCTTCACGAAATTATATCATCTAGTGTAACTTCTAAACCAGACGTACCATGCCAAGTTCGTCCTGTGGAGGGTACATAGCTTTCTGCTAGTAGAAAAGGGGACTTCGTGGGGGTTGCGAGAAATGGGCTGTGCCCGAAACCCAAACGACGCAGTGAAACATCAGACATACGTAGAGTTATGATAAACGGGCGGGGGGGGGGGGGCGTACAACGTTGACAAACGGGGGGTAAAACGTTGACAATAAATAATATATGTATGATATATATATATATATATATATATATATATATATATATAATTCACAATAAAACGTTGTAAGGGAGGTAGAACGTTGACTATCACAGAATAATGTATGCTCTTCATTCCGAGTGGCGAGGCTTACATCTCCTCTTTTTGGTTTTAGTCTTATTTACAGGAGCGAAGCCAGAAGCTACCAAAAGGTGCAATTCGGTTTGCATTTTAAAATCAACGAACTGAAAGAAGGTAGCGTTAAATGACTGCATGAAAAACCGTAGACGTTTTTCATTTTGCAATGGTTTAACAGACACTTCCAAAACAGATAACACCCAGAGGTTTTGCCACGCTGTTTGTGGATTCTACAGAGATGTTGAGGCTTCCATGAGCGAAGACTGTAGACTGTGATGAGGCTGAAAACTCGTAGCGTAGTCAGTCCATGTTCAGTTGACGATGTTCAACCTGCATTACGAATCGGTTAATGAAAAAAAATATGTAGCACAGTTTTGAACATGAGCGCTTGCAAGTCTTAGACACAAAAATCTCGAGCCCCGGTTTGCAGTTTTCATAGACCGCACAGCGTCAGCCATGGGACTCACACTTCCCACGTTAGGACGAAAATGATAACTGATCTGAAATAAAAACCTTGGATTGCCTTGAAACATTGATTAATTCGTTTAGTAGTTATTCGGGGCCAGTGCATATATATATATATATATATATATATATATATATATATATATATATATATATACATATAGG